AGGATATTAAATATTACAGCTTAAAATGTGCATTGTCAATCAGATTTGAGGGTTGTTATATATGAACACATTCACTACCCAGCACCTTATCTCTGACCAGTGAGGGGAACTTCCTATGTGAATAACTAACAGAAACTAATAATACGCAGAAAAAGGCAATCACACCAAGCAAATATTTATTCTACACCATCAAGTAAACCAAGTGCAGCAGTCAGCAGGAGTGTATGGGAGGGTCCTCTGGCTAATAAGGGAGTGCACAGCTGCATGTTGCCAGAAAAATTGACTATTAAAAGTGACTTGTTACAATATTTTAGTTTCAAATTAATGAGATCTCCTTCCAAATTACCCACCATTTTCTAGTTAACAACTGCATCTCTAAAATGGAGGTTGGGTGCCTGGAGTATCTAGGGACTTCCACTATTGGCAGCCAGCCCTAGATTGACATAATGCCCCCATGACTGGCACAACAGCGTAAGTCAGCCATGAGCCTCCACACGAAAGGAAAGAAACAGGCACCTGTCACACTGAAAAACATCAGTGGAGAAAAAAACTAACAAAGCCTAGGGGAAGGGGGGAGGGGAAGAAAATGGCTGACAGAACCTAGAACAAGGGCAAACTAAAACGCGCCAATAATGAATCACATGATCGATGTAGCCAGCTACTGGGCATGTGCATGCCAAACACTGTTGACCTCAGGCACTTAAGGTGCTCTTAAATTGCATTTAAATGCATTAAAAACAAATTAAAGAGAGAATTTAAACAATTTTCTTTGAGGGCCCAGCCCTGCAGTCAAAATGTCTTTTTAGCACTAGGCCAGGGGTTTCAATAGTAGCCGGGTAGCGGGTAGATCTACCCGCTTGCAACGGGCTGATTACCCGCTTGGAGCCTTCACATGAACGTCAACTAAGACCAGATAATTTCATCTCAGCTTCGAATTCTTGCCCAAAAATTTGGCAAAATAGGTTTTGACTATGACTACTTCATTGTAACACAATTCTCTTCAAATTTGTTTAAATTAGTTGACTTAGGAGCAAAAAAATGTAAAAACAAAGCAACAAAAAAAGACCTGAAAATGCATCTGCGAGAGTCTAGAACTTCAAAATTTTCCGGGGGAGCATGCTCCCGGACCCCCCTATGGTCGACGGCCCTTGGGACCTTCGGCAAATATACCCGCCTGTTACTCTTAAGTACCCACTTGTGCAAAAACTTATTGAAACCCCTGCACTAGGCAGGATAACAAGAGTAGCAAGCAGCAAGGACTTAAGGATGTTCGCGCTAATTGTTTCTGCGCATCCCTACTGCGCACGTAATTGATAGCGCAATATCACGCCACGTCATGCATCGAGCGCGCTCGCTGAGAAAACTGTCTAAGCACATATAGGGCTGGTAGCCGTTGCGTTAAAATCGCTTGCAATTTACTGTCTTAAATGGTCGGTGACACCCCATTTTTTTTCGGTAGACCACTTTCTCTTCCACTTTCCGATAGATTGTGAAAAATTGAACAAAAAATCAATGTGGGAAGGTAAAAAAATTTCCAATTTTTCTGTGTACGCGGTGTCAAATTTTGGCATTCGTGCAGCTGTTAGGAGAGTACAGATGTGTCCGCTAAATGATAAAATCAACTCTGAGGAAGTTTTTTAGTTCACCGAATTTTGTTAATGGATCCACAAGAACAATAATTGGCGGATAAAATTTCAATTCAGGGATTTATTTATAAACTTTTTTCACAAACAGGCACTTTATCCGTATGCAGTAACGAAGCCCGATTTCTCAGATTTAGGGTGATCTTTTGAACATCATATCTCCGAAATGAATTCGGTGACCCCCCAATTTTTTTACATTTTTGACATGAGTAACCCATAATCTCAAACTGGTGAAAGTTGCAGAAAAAAATCAATGTTAGAAGATTTTCGCGCGAACGTCCTTAAAATTTTGGTGATATTTGTTAAACATTCTTAAACCTAAATGTTGAGTAGCTGGGTGGCAAATATTCCACTGCGTGTCGAAAGCAGAAAAATTACTGGCTGCTGCCTCATTTTGAAAGGGACCATTTGTTTACTCTTCATGGTACTTGTCTTAGTAAGCAAGATGGGGCTGAAGTGTATTAAACAAAGATTTTCACATTATGTGATCCCATTCAGATTAGTAATCAACATTCTCGAATAACAATAATAGCAAACCTTGATGCTGTCCACCAAAGCTGATGAGATTCAACATAGGAGGGTTAGGACACTTTTGGGCAACAGCACGGCTGTATTTTTCAAGTGAACAAGACCAAGTTAGTAAAAAAATGCTCTTAATAAGGTCATTGTTTTAGAGGCATCATGTTATTTGCAATTCCAGAACCCTTTGTTGTGACTTTGTGACTGGAGCCTGGAAATAACTATTGAACCTTTTAAAACCCTCACCTCAGGGACAATTAGTAGCCATAACCCAGACTCGCCAAGTCTCATGATTTTATGACCTATCTCATGCTCTCACAAGTTGGCAACTGATTTCTCGTGATTTCTCCAAAACTCAAACTCCAAAAAAAATTTGGAGTTGTTGGGTTCGTTTCAAAGTTTAATAGCTATTAATAGATAGCCACTATCAGTTGCAAAAATGTTGAGAAACCCCAACAAAAAACTGGCCTTTTTCTACTGCAAATCGCTGCTAGTCACATGTCTGTAAGTTAAAATACCCACCTCCCTCCTCCCCTGCATTCAAATTTGCATGTTCCTCCAAGTTTTTAGCATGGTCTTGTATTGCTAGCAACTTTGATAAGGGGTGGAGGGGGGATCATAGGCACAAGATCATGGGCAAGCCATTTAAGCCTAAAAGAGGTATTCCTGCTACTAGTTAACAGTTAAAGCAATGTAAGAAAAATGTAAAGTAGCAAATTATATAAATGAAATGAAATCTCACTTACAAGAACTGACCACCTTGTGAGAAACCCAGAGCATTGTAACCATTCTTCAACTTAGGATCTGAGGCAAGTTTATCACAAACCTGTTTGATCTGACAAGAATAACAATAACAACGGTTAAAGCTAAATGCACAATACATAACGTCGGTAACTCATGACAGTATGATGCTGTTATGCTTGCTATTACAAACATTCTTATGGAAGTGTTTTGGAAAAATCACTGCAGTCCAAGTTGTAACTGAAACTATATAAGTCTCTCAGGGCTGTTGACCCCCAACGTCTTCAAATATTGAGAATTGATGGGGGAGGGATGAAAAATGACGTCATAATGCACACGTCACATGATGTCATTTGCGAAAAAAACGCGTGAAAAAGATGTTGTTGGAATTGTAACATTTGATCTAATTGGCTTACTTCACACCAATAACATTATTGCTTATATTACAATGGCATACCGGAGTTTGTGAGGAAACGTTCGATGTTAACAGTAAAATAGCTCAAACAACGCAATGTATTTGAAGTTATATTGTCAGAAAGTCGATTCTACAAGAAATGGCAAACTTATGGTGATTATCCGGGAGATTTCAGACTCTAATCTGGAGACCGGGAGAACTGGTTCAAAATCTGGAGTCTCCCGGATTATCCGGGAGAGTTGACAGCCCTGCCCTCTGAACTGTCTTTAAAAAATTACAGCAAATGGATCGCACAATGTCCTCTGGCTTGGTGAATACTACCTTTAAAGGGTTTTAAGTCTGTCTTAAATCAATAAAGCTTTATTTAGGTAACCAGTTAGTTATACATGTATTAATAATACCTGGTCATTTGCATTCATGAAAAATCCATTTTCTGTATCCTAAAGGAGAAAAGAAATCAATTGAAAAAATAATCTTAAACTGCAGGGAATTAAAAAGCTATTAGAAAAAACTTATGTATAAAACAGTGTAATTTTCACAATACTTATAGAAGCCTTTATAACAGAATGAGTACTCCAAATGAAAATGAATTACAGCACCTCAATGATATTGTTGCCAATCATTAAAGAGCGCACATAAATGCCAGGAATCTTTGATTCCAACATTGACTTGATGGAGCCCATGCTCAAAGGATTACAGCATGAGTCACCTACAATGAAAAAAATTATATTAAAACACTAAATTTCCATAACAATCAGCTGTTTCTGAGGTCTAACGATTATCATAAGATTATGAATAACCGTTTGTTGCTTGGAGAACCTAGGACTTTTCTTGGTGTCAGAACTTCCTGATCTGCCCTCGTGTTGCAGAGCAGAGAATATAAATTTGGTCAAGGGAGTACAAGATGACGACTGTTATTGAATGTAACCTTTCCCCTGCGAAAAGACATAATAATTTGTTTCGTCATTTGTTGTTTTGGTGTCACACATTGACTGTATGAAAAATTAATATATGCATCCTGCAATGATTGAAGAGGGGGGTGTAAGGGGGATTAGACACTGCACAGAATAACTTAAAAAAACCTCAAACCGCATTGAAATTACCCCAAAATTTCTAAATACCACAAACCGCTTGGTTTTGTAAAACAGTCCGCCATACCGCAAATTAAAATAAAAATTTCCGCAAAAACTCACCAAAAATCGAGCAAAACCACATCACCACCAACCCTTATGTCCCCCTCATCAAGCTTGATTCTTTTCTTCCTCTAGCCTATCTTTTGATGATCAATCATATTACAGCTGTACGTCTGAAGCTCAGTAGAGTCCTATCAAATGGTGCATCTCCACTGCCAGAACAGCAGGGATTTTCTACCAAATTTTTTTCAAAAAGTGAAATGCCGGTTGGTGTGTATCCCGTTAATATAGACACATTTAGAATTGACAGATGCATTAATGAAAAAATAATGGGTATCAGCAGTGTTCTCCCTAAATTTTAGCTCAGCAGGTAAGGAACCATTCATGGACGGTAAGGCAAAAAATATATACTTTTCTAAGAGGGGGGCGAGAGGGGGGACAGTGGAGTGAGGGACATGGACCCGCCTTAACTGGGAAATTTTTTATTCCCATATTTTAAGACCTATTTTACGCAAATCTGCTGTCGTTATCTTTAGAAAACAAATTAAAACGTTTGATTCCAATAATTTTACTATGTCTCCAAAATGCATGTCCCTAAAATGGAAAGCTGCATATACAGTACTAGTACAGAACCAAAATAATGCACACGCAAAAAGTGGCGTAAGAAGTTGCTGCGCTGCAAGAACATGCAAGCCACCGCAAGAAGTGAAAGTGCCGTATTTTTGAGGACCCTTTGTGGTTTACCCACAAGAACTTTGAAACGAAAGAAGTCAAAAATCTTCACTGCAAGAGGCTAGAAAATTACTGCAAGCCTCAAGAAGGCGCATGAAGTTCTTTATAAGTGTTAACCTGAAAGAAGTTTGTAGTATTTGTTGCCTTTTTGTGACAACACCGTTTTGTAGCGTTGATACTAATTCACTCTGCGGCAGCAAAAGGTAATCATGAAAGTACACACGTAAAAAGTTGCCTGGGAAAGTGAACAGCTTTCTCTGCTTTTTGTGCAAAGCGAACACTTCAATCGTTTAGCTTTTCCAAAGTTAGATAAAGAGTGTGAGGCGTTTGTTTAACAAAATGATCTGTAGTTTCGAACATTTCGATTATTTGGATCATTTCATAGTACAATACCATAGTCTCGGCAAAACAAACTAAAGGCGTTGAATTTCTGCCCACAAGAAAACATGGGAATTATTATTACTTTATTGCGCTAAGTTGAAAGAGCCTTTAGTGAAAATATTCCTTACTTTACTTTAGTATGTTTTTTTTTCCGAGAGCGCTTTAAGTTGATACAGTTGCACGTGCGGTCTCAAATTACACGGCTCTTTTGCGAAAAATACTATGATCGTTCCTTATTTTTTGAAGCGCTGCTTTTTTTTTTTAATCAAAATTGTACACATTTCCTCGCTTAAAAGGTTACCTTTGCACAAGATAATTTTAAGAAATTCTTGTGGTTAAATTTATAACCGCAAAAGAAGTTCTTGCGTCTTGCTGGATTCAAGCGCAAGCGCCCTGCAAAAAGCCGCACGAAGTTGCCAGCTTGAGGACGCAAAAAGAAGTTCCTGAACATGCATTATTTTTTAGGCTGTACGTTTTGTACTTAGGTAGCTATACTTTTCCTCATATTCATTCATTTTCTTGTGAGGATCGGATCGGATCGGATCACAACTCGCATATTTTTTTTTTTAAAAAATTATTTAATTTTGGTAAACCTTTAAGCAGTTGCAGGCGGTAAGAAGTGTTGCTTCAAGCGGTAAATTTTACCGGTTACCGCCTGATAAGTAGAACACTGTTATCAGCGTGTATTAGGCTCCTGGTATCAGTAACAGTTCCAGGGAGATATTGAATCAGGGCCTAACTAATCGATAGAAATCGATCATCGAAAATGTAATCGATTAATCGATAATACTCGATAGTACTCAATATTTGTCGATTGATTAGTCAATTTAATCGATTGAAATCGATAATCCCAATTTTTTGTCGTATCTATGGAAATCGACAATCAAAAACGTGATCTGATCTTATCACAACACTGCGTAACACTTACCTTCAAGCTTACCTTCGAATCCGCTTTGTTGATAAAGATGATGTTACTTCTTTCTCCAATGGTAGCTACTTTTCTTATTTATTTTTTTTAACAGGATCACTGCTGTAAATTTGTACTCTAGAATCGTCAGAATCGTGGTAAATAGCCGGAGTCACTAATGTAGAAATTGGCAAACTGTCGTCCGTTCTCCGAGAATTTAGAAGGGTATTGTTCGAGCGCTTATTGGGAGACACGCATGGTGGCTTACGAAGCGCGGAGAATCTTCGTCCATTTTCTTTTCGATCATTGTCGAACAAATCGATAAAATCGATAGCTAATTACAGAAATCGATCAAAATCGAAAATCACAAAGACACGAGTGATCGATGGCTTAACTGCAGAATACCCTGCCACTTATTTGCATGTCATTGAATAAGAATAGCATCTATTGTGTTATGCTTCGTTCTTCAAAGAACGCCGACCAACGAAAACAATGGTGGTACAGAGTGGCAGGGTATTCAGCAGTTGCTCCTGATCGATTTCTATCGATTTCCGATATTAATCGATTGATTAGTATCGATTACGATCGATTACGTTCGATTTCTATCGAGTATCGAAGATATCGATTAGTTAGGCCCTGATTGAATGCACCCATAAGTCCAGGGAAGCCACTTATGATAAATTACAGGTCTTGGTGCACAAAAGGATCTTATCAGTAAATATTTAATTAAAACTGAATAATATGTCACAACGAGGAACGTGGTGGTCCATGAACCGTGCGTCTATGTTTTGTATACGTCCGCTGTATGATGCGAAGCTTTGAGCCCTCCAGGAAAAAAAAACCTGGATTCCCTTGAGTATGTTCGCTCATGTAATTAATTTTCAATGGCAAGTGGAAAGACTCCGTAGACTACAGGCAAAGAAAGGTTATTAACGACAGAAACTTCTACGACGGCTTCCGCATTAGATTAACCCCCCCCCCCCGGAATCAAAGAAACCTGAAAATGCCGGATTTTCGAGATTGTAAAACGGACAAAAATCATTCACGCATGTTCCACTTAAATAAAGCTATGTGAATGGTCTTTAACTTCAAATGCCTTGGTTTCCACTATGACACAACGCCAGTTTATAGACGCCGACGAAGCAAACCTACCTTTGCAAAATAACATGCAGAGCGAGCGACAGACAATTTTCAACTTTTTAACAACATTCTACTCACCCATTCCGTGCCAGAGAACCGCAGGAATTGTTCCATTGCTTGCAGCAAAGCAACAAGTCAGAAAAGAAGCAAGAACTACAGCATGGAAAAGTCGCCACATCTTTGAGTGAAAAAAATGTCAGCCGGAAGCGTGTGACTCGCTTGTGACCCGTGTCGAAAACTCTTCCCCAGGGTTTTCTCTTTGATATACCACAGGCACACCACTTTGAAATACAAGCAGCGATAGACGCAACATGCCAAGTTAAAAATTGGATACAGATTGTCTATCTGAGGCCAGGTAAAAAACAACAACGACAAAAACAAACAAACAAAAAATGTGTCTCGTCTTCGCCTGCTTTATTTTTGGTCCATCCCCATCTTCCACATGCTACAAAAACCCAAAAACAAAATAAGTCAGAATAATTTATTTTTATTTCCTGTAAAAACACTGATTCCCAAGTAGACTCACAAACTGCAATAAACTCTCTTGGAATTCTTATATCTTTTTTATTATTTGATACTAGAAAACCAATCGGCGTTACTTTATTCTAAAATCATGCGTAACATGCCTTATACCTCTATGATGCATTTAATATAAGATACTTTTTTCTAATGACGTTTTCAACGCACCCTACCTCATTAAATATATCGCATGACGTACCGAAATAAAACAATTTTATCTTTTAATCAATATCTGACGTTTTATTTATCAATATTTGGCCGAAAAACTCCAACTTTAATATCCCTGGGAGAGCCATAGAGCGCCCACCGGCTCTTTTTTTCATAGAAACCCTGAAGCCCGACCTTGGAAACATTCGTTTTCTCACTTGCCTAAACGAGGAAGTTCCTGCTATAGTAGGCTTTTCAGCAAAAAATAGTACTGACGAACTTCAATGTTGAAATATTGCCCTTAATGAAATGAATTCCTTCAGACTGTTTTGCCAAGATCTTACAATTTGTCATTTTTATCAATAACCCCCATTAAACTTTTAAAGTCAAAAGCTGCCAAAAAAGGGCCCTAAATGCCAACGTAGCTTTATGTATAACCTTCGATCTTGGTTCAGCCGGATTCTGCGGGAAAGACGTAATCTGACGTAGTAAAAGCCGGGATCGGAGAATCAGGCAATAGGGGAAGTGGTGCCTGAGTGAAATCAGTCACTTAATTTTCAAATTCTAAAACACTCCTCTTACAATTTCTATCATTTGATCTGGACAAAACAGGCTAAAAAATGCTTGGAATCGTTTATAACATAGTGGTATTTACTAGACTCCAGCGTCGCATTGCCATCATGCACGATTTTTCACGGAAGCCTGAGCACGTGCATCTCTAATTTTCTCATTCTGACATGTGATTGGCTGATGTAATAAACACACCCCCAGCACACCTTCTTTACACCCTTTGCTGAATCACGCGTGAACAACAAACGCATGCACATAATTGATGAGCTCTTATTTCCGAAGCTAAAGAAAAGAATCGTTGTTGTGTTATCAAGTACGAGACCGTCCTTGTTGTTGGCTAGCGAAAGAAGAATGTTTGCGAGAATCTTTAGACGTGGTCAGGTCCTTTGTGTCGCGAAAAATTTGCTCGGAAAAAACCGTTCCTTTCACGCGACACTAAGGAAGGAATCGCCGCGAATATTGATAACAGGTGGGCTTAGTAGTTTGATCGCTTGAAACGACATGGCTTAATACCCGCTCCTGTGTTGTTATTCAAGAGTTTTTCGCTTCCCTTGGAATGTCCTTCGACACTTTTTAAACATTTTTGGTTTCTTAAATTATTTTCAGGGCAACACGAGGTGTAAAACGAAACAAATAGCATGTAGTTATAGATATTATTTACCATGTGTTCAAACTTGGTTCAACTAACGGGGCTAATATGACTCCAATTTCCCGGCTCAAAACATGCTCTAAGTGACCAAAGAATGAAAATCGTTTTCGATATAACGGCTTGAACGTTAACCTTCCGTTTGTTTTCACAGGGAGTTTGGGACAACTCGGACGAGGGCTTGCCAAAATTTTAAGGTAGTTGATACTAAGTATAGTTGTATCCTGTCGATCTTAATTGCTAGGAGCCGCGATGTTGGATCCTCTTTTGGTCCATGTATTCTCTATTGTCTTTTCTTTTACATTAGACAGAAACGGATAGGAATAATGGCTTCATATTTACTTTGAACTATTTATATAAATATTCAGCAGATGTCCCATTTTAACACGGAATGTTAAAAAGTTTGCACTGAGTAAAAAAGAAAGAACATTTGTGAACGATTGCTGTTTATTTGATCAGCATTCACGGAAGCAAACAAGATAGAAACAACTCGCTGGCACAAAGGCCATTTGTTGCGGTTAGTTATAATTTGGAAAGGAAAAGAACAACACAATTTTTAAGTGACTCTCCAGACAGTTACGGTGTTAGCAACTACAGATGTAGGAGACATTTTGATAACCTGCGAGCAGAGGCCCATCCATCTTCCTAGATAAGTCGGCTTATCTAGGAAGATCGAAGGGCCTCTGCTCGCATGGTCACATTTTGATAATTAGCAGACATCATTTTTCATTATAAGTTGCCTTTCCATCTCCCTCCTCGATCTTCCAAGAAAAAAGATGAAATAAATTTAAGTGTCTCTAAAGTTCATTTGAGTGTAATCCTGATCCCAGAATCAATAACACTCTTATTACTGTCTTGATACTTATAATACCGGAGTTACGTAACCGAGGGTGATTAAAAATGCAAAAAAGTCTTTTGAATAACTTTGTTATGTAATATATCTTCATTTCTCAATTAACTAGAGAAAAATATGGAAGAGATAACATCATTATGTCAGATATAGCCAAGGCATCCTGGGATGTATTGGAAAGTGGTAAGTTTCCCCTTATCTGCTGATACATTAATAATAATTTACTTATTTTCTCCTCGATGTACCATTGTATAAACATAATTATTATAGCATTTTTAGTATAGCACTTGATATCATTTGTGTATTAAGAAGCATCAAAAGGCCAAACCACAGAGTCAAAAGTTTATAATATAATGACCTTTTACTTTGTTAAAGTTTCACTCCAAGAGCATCAGACTTAAAAACATTTTGACATAATAATAATAATATTAATTAAAGTAGCCTGAATTTCAGACGATGACCTCGAGTCGTTTTTACTCCCTCAGTTACTGTTGAGGGGATTACAAACGACTTAAAGTAATTGTCTGAAATTCAGGCTAAATATTAAGGATGAAATTTGATTAATATTTTCATCTAGGACCATACATTTACGCCGACATTTTGGACTTCAAGAATCTACAGTCGATTGTTGTCAATGAACGCATTGACTGGTTGGTTCATTTTAGTGCCATTTTGAGTGCTGTGGGAGAACAGAATGTGTCACAAGCCCTACAGGTCAACGTTGAAGGTGTTCATAATATTTTTGAACTGTGTCGCAGGAATAACTTGCGCCTGTTTTGCCCAAGTACAATTGGAGCATTTGGTCCTGAAACCCCATCAAATCCAACTCCTGATCTGACTATTCAGAGGCCAAAAACAATCTACGGAGTTGCCAAAGTGCATATGGAGCTCCTTGGAGAGGTAAAATAATAGAGAGCTTCCATACTTAATTGTAAGTCAGAATTTTTCCAAATCATAAATTTTATTTAAAGTCAATAAATGCAGTGTTACTTGCAGTTTTTTTTATGGAATAAAAATTGACATTTCATAAAGATCAATATAAAAGGTCTTACAGTATAATGTTACTTTCTCTTCCAGATTATATATTTAGATGTAATAATAATATTGGCTGCACATGAATATAGACCAGCAATACTTGTTTTAGCTGATTCATTCTGCTGGGTAAAATAAAGTTTTTTTTTTTACTTTACTCTTGCATAGTACTACCACCACAAGTTTGGTTTGGACTTCCGCTCAGCAAGGTTCCCTGGGGTGATCTCGGCAGACACTGCCCCAGGGGGTGGTACAACTGACTATGCTGTCCACATATTCCATGAAGCATTGCGACAAGGCAAATACAACTGTTATCTGCGCAAAGACACAAGGATGCCGATGATATACCTACCTGATTGTCTGCGAGCTACTGTTGAGCTGTTGGAAGCACCTTCAGAGAATCTGAAAATGCGCACATACAATATCAATGCCATCAGCTTCACACCTGAGGAACTGGCCAATGAGGTGCGCAAGTTCATTCCCAGATTAGAAATGGCATATGAACCAGATGAAAGGCAGGCTATAGGTGGGTACTACAAGTACTGTAAGGATATAACAGTTATTTCGATACTATCTTGCAAACTGCATTTAAAAGGAAGTAAACAAAAGTAATTTCCTATCAAGTGCTGTCAATCTCAGTACCCAATAAAAATTAAAATTATAAATCATAGTGCTTAATTTTTTTCAGACTAGTATAAAATATATTTAGTTACAAGAGGTACTTGGCTTAACGTGGCTCATATTTCATGCAAAGAAAATCTGCAGATCTAAAAGGGAATGTGCCATTGACTTGACCAAATAGTGAGTAAAATTTTTTCTGAGCTGATTAATATTCACTGAAAGGGAAATATGCAGGAGAAATAATTATTGTCTTTAATTTGTTATTGATCATAAGTGTCTTTCATTTTAGCGGATAGTTGGCCACAAGTCCTGGAGGACAGCAATGCACGCAAGGATTGGGGCTGGCAACATGAGTATGACCTCAATGCCATGACAATAGCCATGTTGGAAGCACTGGCACCAACAGTAAAATCTTCTGCAGCTCATCTCCACTAATCTGACCAAGTATTGATTTAAACTCAGTCTTTTTAAAATTATTGACATGCAGATGCAAATTTAACCTAAGCTGACATAACTACATTAATTTGTGTGTATGCATTCAATATAAGTAGCTTAAAGCTGATTAGGTGTTGTTTAACTGTTAGCAGTCCCCTATTTGACTGATATAGTATGTGATTGTTGAGGGCAATCTCTGATTCAAAAGGTCATCATTAAGTATTCATTTGTTGTCCAGTTTCGCTCACCATTTATGAATTCATTACAAAATAAATAGTGGCATCTTAAACTCTTCAAATCCTAAATAATCAAAAATAAAAAATAGGGGGCTATGAACATTCCTAGCTGTTCAGATCTAGATTTAGATATACATTGTGAGACCAAGTCTGATATAGTGACATTTTGCAATACTAGCATATATATTATTTTTATTTAAATGCAAGTAAAATACCCAGGCAAACAGGTGTGGGCACTAAAATAATGGAACCCTTTGTAAACTGCATAATTATAATAATTTATTACTCAGCATGTATTATATGATGCAGTATAGACTAAGATGACTGTGTTACACTAACAGTGTCCAACACTTGTTAAGTGGGGTATGTAGATGTAGTTATTTTCCTAAAAAAATATGAGAAGACTCTCTAGAGGGCTTTTTGAATTTCAAGACTTTTTCGTTCATCTTTATTGTCCCAAATAGGAAAAGTATCTTGAGACTTTTTGACATTGTACTTAATCTCAAAGTTAAAGTGATGGTTCTATTATATTTAATGAATTATTTTATTTATAACGTATCTTGTTATATTAGTCTTGCCTCACTTTATAAAAAAAATGACCAGGGTTCATTTTATCTACCAAATTATAATAGTCATTATTTTTACAAAAGTTGCACATAATAATAAATTATTATGTTCACCTACATGTATTTGCAGACACAAAAACCGCACTGTATTTCCTCGGATAAGTGTTGCATCTCATCTTACAACCAGCCCTTCAACCCTCTTTACCCAAATAAAGGAGGTGTGAGGAGTCTCATATGTAAGGTACAGGCCCCAGTTGTTCCAAAATTGGATAGCATTATCCGCTGGATAAATCGCTATCCATTGGATTATCCCCACTGGATAGAGATTTATCCAGCAGATAGCATTATCCACCTTTTGAACATTACTGGGCCCTGGATGGTTGTTTTTTCATCCAGGGGCATAACTTCCAGACTTTGGTATCACTTAAAGAGTACTGGGGATAGAAATAAAGTATTCAATGACAGCGTTTTTAATGGAAGTAAAATTACCATGATTATAAAAATATAAGCTCTTAACTTGACTGTCTTCACAGTCTTGTTTTAGAATGACAGAATGACACTTCGTCTCACGATATACTTCAGTGAAGGGTTGGAAAGGGTTAATAATGATTCATTAGAGGAGTTTTATTACAGTGTTGAGGAAATGAAGCTTGATACAGATGTCCTTGAGGAAATTAACATTTGCTTAACGTGGTCTTGTTCCAATCTTAATCATACAGTCATGTGCTCGTATAAACCATACCGTGTTGTGATATGTCAATGTAAAATAAATCGAGAAATTAGTCATGGGTGAATCTTTATTGAAGGAAAACTTAAACTCCCTCTTCTGAATAACTACTCCCCCACCCTTCCCCTCTTGGACAAAAATAACCTTTTCAATAAGCCCCTGAGTGCTCACTTATTCTGGGAAATACAGACCATATTTTCAGAATGTGGGTTGCATGCAGTCATTTAGTAAACATTCCTTGGTTGTACATAATCTATGGTTGAAACACCAATTCAAGCAAGAGTAGTGTAACCTGTGTAGCAGGTGCTCGGGAGTAATGGGCAGAAGAAAGAACATGGCGTACGAGGTATTCTTTCTTCCATGCCCCATTCTTTCCTGTGCCTATTACTTCCAAGCGCCTGTTGCACAGGCTAAAGCAAATGTTATAATTTGCCATGGAGGTAAATAGAGACATGCAATTATTTATATACTTTAGGTAACTGACAATAATAATTATTAATAATTATTATAATAATTATTATCATTGGTTTTATGGGACTTAGCCTCAGAGGTACCATTTATTATGAAGTTAATAAGATGTCAGTCAGAATAACTAACAATTATTATCATTACTGGTATGTTATATAATTCATTTTTGCATCAAGTTATGATATGATGGATCTTCTCTATTGATGGCTTAAATTTATTATGCTACATGTACAGATGCAAAGCAATTAAAATGTGTACTAAATTTAATTTTTATGTTAACTTGTACTACCAAGAACTTATGATTCGTGCAAATTTTTGCCTACGAGTTTAGTAAGCAAAAATTTGCATAAATGTTTTGCACTTAAGTACACTGGGATCATAAATTCTTGGTAGGACAAGTTAAAATTAAATTTTGTGCGCATTGTTAATGGCAGTTTGTGTGTCAAACAATTAATGATGTTGTGTGTACTCTAAGGCATTATACGGAATTCAAAATAGCACGACTTCAATAATAAATTCTGTAATAATTCAATAAAGTGTACTCCTGCGTTACTGTTAGTAGTATAGTACAGTTCACTCCTGATAGCTCGAACCCTTGCTTAAATGAACTAAAATCAATTTCCCGCGGATTTCTCTCATACATTTACTATAATTTTACCTCAGTAACTTGAACCCTTGATAACTCGAACCCTCGATAACTCGAACCACCCGCTAACTCGAAGTAAGTTGTTTCCCTTCAGACCATTTCTACATAAATATTTACCCTTGATAACTTGAACTATGCTTTGCGTGCCTGACAAGTCGAAAAATAGTGCACTGTAGTCCGAAACACTGAATTTATTTTAACCACCATGAGTTATGTACTTTAATTTCAGTCCAGTTTAAATACAGTGTCCAGCACTGAGTATTTATCAAGCCTTGAAGTGTGCATGTTACTTGAATTCATTCCCCATCCCATTTCCTTATAGTTTTGTGTATTTACTTAAACTCCCAATAGTTTGAACTATTTTCGATTTCCTTTGAAGGTTCGAGTTATTGGGAGTCGACTGTAGACATATTTCGTTAGTTGATGATGAGTTACACTACTTATCTGTCTATCCACCCACTTAGTTGGGGGCATACTAAACACCTATATGCAGGCTATAAATACCCATCCCAAGGGACAACAATGTAAGAATATTCCCAGCGAATGTTTGGGAGTGCTGATGATTAAGCACTTTCGACACCCCCACCCATGTAGACTTTCAATGGCCTTATAATTACTTCACTTTGGCAATCACTGTCTGTGTTACTTTGCTCTGTCTCACCTCACTTAACAAATTTAATATCCTGCTATTTTATCTGACCACCCTTGAATATTAGTATTTAATGCAATGATTAGACAGCTGCAATATACCAATGATCTGAAAACCAGTTGGTCATCAAAACTTCAGTAATTTTATTTTCTCTACTGAAGACAGTCTAGCACATCGGAAATCCTTACAATCCTAGAACATTTTCACACAACAAGGCTTGGAATTCCAGACCACACACTTTAGCTTCTCTTGTAAGTATTTTACATCAGAATAAAAAATCTATAATCACAATTTATGATAACTGCACACCAATATCACTATATTAAAAAAAATCAATAACAATTCCATCAAATTTATAACTATTAACATTGCTACTTGAAACAGAAAAATTGTAGTAATAAATTATTTACTCCTATGAAAAATACTGTAGCTAACTGTGTGGTTGGAGCCACTTAACATTTCACCCTTAAATCCTTTGCTTTTTATGAAAAAAAGCATAAAATGGTATTTTTTTATCATAATTAAGATTTCTAATATTTCACAATTTGTTACTAGAATATTTATTAAATCCTTATAAATTAAGGTTATCGGTTAAACAAAGGTCGGCCTGCCGACTGACATAGTTTTGTTACTTACACTATAATGCTAATAAATTACTACACGCAAAGTGTATAAATGTGTATGCACATGTATGTGGTCCATACCAAGTTTAAATTATTTAATACAATGAAAATGCCTGCATATTAATACTGAAAAGTTGTTTAAGGTAATCACAAAGACAACAATCGTATAGCTAGGCCTGACTATTGCCAACTGCCTGCAAACATCCACAAACATTAAAAGTTTGAGTGAAACAAGAATGATTGCAAAACCCCTGCAAAAATCTGAGACAGAAAACAACCCTTTGTCAGCTTCTCTGATTTGCTTCTAACCATTGAAGGCAATGAGTACGTTGACCATTTTGTTTCCAGAGTCAGAAATATCTTGTGGGGTTAAAATCATTGAAATTTCCAGTTGCCCTAGATGGGCATGTTTAAAACACAAAATGATGGCATAATGAAATCACAAGATGGCAAAATGACTAATATTATTTAGAAATAACACATATTCTTCTAATACCGCTTTCCTCCCGACGCTTTTTGGTCAGCGGAGTTATCACACGCTTTCTCGACCCCAGAGCTCTTGTCTATTGTGCAGTGTCTTAAGATTTGAAGGCTCTGGTGACGAGATTGTTGTCATGCAGAGCGTGTGTGATGTGCATGAGCAAGCTCATGACAAGTGTAAAAAGTTCCTCTTTCAAGAGAAAATTTACTGCAGCGTGAAGTTGATGGTACAATGGTAAGCAAATTTGTCAGGTTTTTTGTATGCTGAGCAGAGTTTTGCCGGTTCAAAGAAGGCGAACGAAGTAATGACTGGAAACCAACAAGAAAGAAGGAGTCAGTTGTTTTTTCTGTTTAGAAAATCCATTTCGCCATTTCGTGTTTTAAACATGCCCACCTCATCCTCGGAGACCCAGGGGCAGATAGAGGGGGCAAGGGAAAGTCTAAACGGGCGGAAAAGTAAGGCACGAAGAAAAGTAAAGAACGGCGAGAAGAGCCCCTAGGGACAATGTCTTACCAGACCAGTTCCAAACGGTCGCCGCCGTTCTGGCTTCTGATTGGTGCCAGAAAAACACAAGTTTTCAGGCACCAATCAGAATCCAGAACGGCGGCAACCGTTTGGAACTGGTCTGGTAAGACATTGTCCCTAGGGGCTCTTCTGGCTGTTCTTTAATTTTCTTTTGTGCCATATTTTTCTGCCTGTTTAGACTTTCCGTTGTCCCCACTATCTGCCCCTGGGTCTCCGAGGATGTGCACACCTGAGATTTTTTCAACATATAAATATAATATAACCCATTAAAGTATTTTCTTTGAGGCCAAGAGACCTATCCACAATAGTTTATTTCAGAGGAAGTGTTGTTTGTTATTGTATGTGAAAGTGTTTGCTTTTTCTGTTTTTCAAAGAATTAATGTTTGCTTATCAAACTTGCAACTTTTATAACCATTTATTATAAAGTAAACTTTTTATCAGGAAACCAAACCCAGCCTGACTTTTTAATTCCTTTTTTTTGTTTAAAAATGCTTCTCCATGAGGTTGCACCATGATAAATTCCTAAGAAAATAATTATTCTCTGCCTAATACAGACTGGTTTAATACGTCTTAAACTGAACATTTTTAAAAATGTAAAGCTTATTTTGACATACAACAGTATATTTAATTACAGCTGGTATTTGAGTTCAAAATTACTTTTCCTATCATACAAAATCTGCTGCCATTTTGTTTGTCTTGTATTTTCCCTCTTATACACTTTAATTTTGATATACAATATAAATTCTTAAAAGAAAAAGATTCACCAACTTTGGTAAATGGATTATAGCTTTGAACTAAAATATAAATTTAAAATTCTTTCATAAATAAATGGAGGCTGTGAAAGCTTCTTTAAAACTATAGATTATTAAATCAAAAATTCTGTTTATGTTGTTAGTATTAACAAGTTTGCCAAATAAAACAGAATATCATATCCACACATTCTGAGTCACTGTATGTACACCACAAATGAAAAGAAAAAGCACATCACACTTTCAAAAATTCACCTATTTATGAATTTGCAAATTCAGCACTTTAGATAGTCTGCATTTTGCAATTTCAAAATTAATGATCTAGACAGCGACATATTTTACACACTTTAATTTTAACAGTCAATTTCAGAAATCATTTCAAAATCATATTTATCTAATTCTAGTGTCTGCAGTGAATTCAAAATGTGAATGGTGCAGACCATGACAGTTTAATAATGTATCTTTAGACTGTATCACCAATCAACTTTTATAACTATCGGAATTCAACGTATGATAAGTGCAAGAACAAAAAATATTGCCCTTTGTTCAAGTCCTGTACAAATATTACAAATTTTCTTAAACAACCTTCACACCATTTTTTATGTCATTTGTTCATGCAAAAATGGCAAGAAAATTAAGCAATAATTATCATAATTATATAATAGTAATAATAATAATAATAGTAATAGTAATAATAACAATAATACAATACTGTGTTATTACTTTCATTATTGATAAACTATGTAAATCCAATACTACTGTGTGTTTTCAAGCATGGATGGCAGAATGGCTTATCAATTCAGCTTGTCTTTGATATTCATCATCACCTTCTCCTCTTCTTAATCGCGATGATGCCTCAGCATGAAGCCTGACATGATCCTGCAAGTGCTCAGCAATGCAGAACTCCTTTTCACAAACAAAACACTTGTAGGGTCTCTTACCATTGTGAATGTTCATGTGATCTGTAAACTCGTCCTGGGTGAAGAACTTCATGGAACAAATTTTGCAGTCAAAAAGCATGACGGCACTGCTTTGTTCTTGTGTGTGCTCCTCAAGGTGAACCTTAAAACTTTCAGCCTTTGTGAAAGTCTTGAAACAGAAGTTGCATCGGTGAAAGGCTCTGTTTGTTTTCACAGGTTGCACTGTCAGAAAAAATGTCGAATAAAGTTAATACAGTTAAACCTCCACACGCAACCTCCTCTTGTAATAAGTGACTACTTCCTTAAAGTGACCATCTATGTAAAACACCAAAATTGTCCCAGCAGCTGAAGCCTTATTGTGGGAACTCCTCATAAACTACCATCTCATAAGTGACCCTGACCACTTTTTGGGGTGAGGGTTTTATAATGTCCATTGTTTTTAACCTCTTATAAGCGACCACTTGATGCATGCATGGTCAGCTCTCTACTTTATTGAAAATTAATCCTGTTCTAAAATGAAGATGATTCCGAATATCTTTCTGGAAGAGATCCCCATAGCTGCATTTGGGGTGGTTGCTTACAAGAGGTTTGACTGTATAATCATAGCAAAAAAATCATTTGGAAAATATTAGAAACATCAGATACAATTTACAAACAACATAGTAAAAGGGTCAAACCAAGAGTTCTGAAATATATCTTGATCTTACACGTAACAATGTTAAGAGTGTAGACTCAAGGGCACTACTGACAAGTAGTGTTTACTGGTATTAAAAAGATTTTACAATAAAGGAAACTGAGCAATAAAAACCATTACTGGTTTAGTGGGTGCCTGTCTTTGTTCAGACAGGCAGTTAATTTTAGCTAAATTACATTATTAGCCCTCTTAGGTTAATACCTTGGTAATTTAAAAATATTTACAGAGATGAATATCAAACACTGCCAAATTAAGAAAATGCAAACCCCCAACAAATCCACTCAGTTAAACTTTTCTGCCTTGACAGACAATTCCAACAGTCACAACCTCTCTAACAAGCTCATCCTTGTAATACAGGCACTGCTTTGTCCCTCTTGAGTCTGCATTACAGCACAACACACTAAACTGGGGCCAGAAACCTTTGTTGGGAGCATGTCCTACATACATGACTGGTTGAATAAGGCAAGGGGGGAGGGAATAGCAGTTAAGCTCATTGCACTGTCCGAAGGTTTGACTGTAAGTGTTAAAGAGAAACATTGCACTCCACTTACCATTATGCATGGCTCTGTGCTGTCGCAATGCACTGATGTGCAGGAAATTCTTGCCACAGTGTCCACAGGGCATGTTACCTGTTCTGTGTCCCAGTTTGTGTTTGCGGAGTGCATCAGCTCTACGGAATTCCATATTGCACTCCTCACACTTAAACTGGTTAGTACCAGTGTGAAGGTTGATGTGTTTTTTGAGATCACTTGACTGTTTGAAGGCCTTCTGACAAATGTGACACTTGAATGGTCTTTCACCTAAGATACAATGAGTGAATGAGAGACATGTCTAAAAATCACTTTAAAGGAAAATTATTAGTAATCAGTTGTTTTTTGAAGTACTGAGAGACAAGGATGATAATATTAATGCAACCATGACACCCTGAGAAATAAAATCGTGAAATCCTGAACTTCAGCCTCTTCACAGTCTGCATTACACAGTCTGCATCACATTTACACTATATTCTTCTATTCACTTGAGAGTTTATGTTAATATTAAAACAACTCTCAACTGAATATTCTTCATTCTTCTTCAGAACACACTGCAGTGATAAGTGAGACATGACTGTGTGACATAACTTACATTAGAGCAGTTTTCCCATTTCAGAAGATCAATTAACTATGCTTAAAATGCTAAAAAGCCTGAGTACAATGATGGCTGCATTATAAAAAAGCATACATGTACCTGTGTGAATGCGAGTATGATCACGGAGGTGACTGCGTGTCCGAAACATCTTGCCACACACCTCACAGCGGAATTTGAAACGTTTGTTACCCATGTGGATAACAGAATGCTGTTTAAGCAGGCTGGAACGAGAGAATGTCTTCTTACAAACTTGGCAGTGGTGAATGGTATTCTCTGGGGAGCCTTTTTGCTCTGAAAGGGCAAACAAAAATTATGCCTTGAGTTGAGTGGGTTGAAAAGCTTACCTCAGGCCCTCTCGTATTCCTGTTTAACTAATGTGCTCACTTCATGTACACATGTATACATGTATAAATCACACTTACAGGAGGACTGTTGCAATGTAGACCTCTTTCATAATGACAGCCTATTAATATTCCCTTTGAAATAATTTGCCTTTCTGACCTCGTTTGAAAGTAAAGAGTTCTTTTGTATTTTGCACATGCTAATGAGGTCAGAAAGGCTAATTATCATTTTTTAAAAGGGTATACTGACAGGCCGAATTATGAAAGAGGTCTATTGTGACTGTTCAAAACCAGGTTTTAATAGAGCAAAAATAAATTTGACTGGACCATGTGAATGGTCAAACTTCGCCCATCAGTTATTTCAAGCCTTCAAAAACTTAAATAATATTTATCTAATATATCATAAAAGTCGGTGTTTGTTCACTTGGTGTTAAAATCTTTCTCTCCCCATTTTATTTTGTAAGATCTTTCATTGCGAAACATAGCCATTACCTGGAGAATCAGCTGGTAACGATTGTTGCCCACCATCACTTTTTGGCTGTTCATTATTTGAAGTATGCCCAGATTCCACAGCTTCAGAGGATTCAGAGTCCTCTTCAGCTGACACTGGAGATTTCAAGTCACCTTCTGAATCATTCTGTTTGATCTGCTCTCGCGCTAGAAACTTCAGCATGTCAACAGACGTCACTTGAGATCTATCAAATGAGGATTTTGATTGATGTGCATTAGCTTGAGGAAATAGGGTGAATTGCTTGCTCTCTAGTGACTGGCTAGAAGCAAGCTGCAAAGCTTGTTCCCTCATTTTTAAAAGCTCAAAGGTTTTTTTGGCTTCCTTTAAGGCCCAGGAATACTTTCCAAAGGGACCACCAAATTCTCTTTTCCATGACTGTAGTGATATAGAGCTTTCAGCATTGAGTGGTACATAGGGTAGATGCCCCTGGGAAATGCCAGCCAAATAGTCATTTATCACGCCATTTTTCGGCTGCAAGTCTTGGTGTTGCTGTTGAATTACAACAGGTTTTTTATCCAGTTTTGCCGATGTAGAATCACACAATGGAGAAATATCTGACTTAAAAGGAGCCTCTTGTGTCTTCTCTTCCTCCTTGATCAAGTCCTCTGGATTCTTTGTGTTGTGAGGAGTCACTTGCGAACTTGAATGAAACTGAATGACTGACACTCGATGGCAAGCAACACTGTTATTACCCTCAACAGTCTGTTCTGTCAAGGCTTTTTCCTGTTGGGAATTTACACCCCCCAAACTCAGTTCCATAAAATTTCTTTGATTTGCAGAACCACTCCTTGTTGCAAAATGTGAGTCATACAGTCTAGCATTGTTTACCATAGAATAAACACTGCTAGCTGTAGTAGTCACTGAACATGGCTGATCCTCTCTAGACCATTTTTGTTTCTCAGATGTACATGCAGAAATATTCTTGCTTGGACTTGGTGAGAGTCTACCAGGCAACACAACACCGTGTCCCACTCCTTCTCGTGATGAAACACACTTTTCTTCCCTCTTATAGTTCATGTTTTGAAAAGGCAACATCAAGTACTCCATACCCTGGGGAATTGATTGTGGCATAGGAGGATACATTATTGTATTTCCCTGCATTCTTTTCCCTTCCTGTAATGCGTTCCCCAAGGAAACACCCCTTGGTTCCTTCTGACTGGAACTTGATGAATCATTGGAGACACTTGCTCCTTGATAGGTTAAACGAGGAACAACAGTCGGAGACACCAATGGTTCCTTAGGTACAGCTTGTGGTGTGGCTGATGTCTTCTTTACAGGTGAACTTACGTTATCAACAGATTCGGTTTCAGATCCACTATTATTGCTATTCTTCCGAGATGTAGTATGTTGCGATATTTTATGAAGCTCAAGTAACTGATTAGCGACATCCCACTTGAGGTTATTTTCGCGTGTTTCAGCATCAACCTGGATACTGTCACTGGAACGAGAGCTTAGCATCTCAGATGACACACTGCTTCGTGGTGTCACCACATCATCAGACAATCTGGACCTCCTATCTGAATCATCAGAGAAGACCGTTGGATGGAGTTCTTTATGACGTTCAAAGGCTTCCTCAGATGTAAACAAAGCACTACAAGCAACGCACTTGAAGAACTTGTGGACTGAGTTGATATGGCCTCGACAATGATGAGATCGAGTGAATGCTGAGGGACAGATGGGACATTTATAGGGTTTGTCCAAGGTGTGTGTGCGTCGATGCTTTTTAAGGTCACTTGACTGCTTGAATCCCTTGTGGCATATGTCACAGATATATGGACGCTCCCCTGGAAATCAAAATAAAAAATGTATCTAGGATTTACTGACCAGTGACTTTCTATGGGCCTGGCTGATTTCTTTATCGATTAGTACTACAGGAATGCCAATAGTCCTACTATAATAGCTGCTTATGGAAGACCATTCCTGTCTAAATGATTCACTTTGTGATCGATTCACCTTCAGCTGGATCACAATCAGCATTTTTCTTTTTTCAGTAGTCCTGAAAATTAAACTCCAAAAAATTTTTTTGGCCTGTCAAAGAAATGCACTGAATGAGTTCTCTGGAAGCTACATTAATCTTGACAGCCTAGGAGAAGGTTCTAACTGGAAACAAGATGTGGAGAGGTTCTTTCTCACCCTGCAGTCTACATAATATTCTTCAATAAGTTCAAAATCAAAATGTTTTTAATTTGAACACCCCAATGAAATTCTTTTCAGACTTGATCTCACTGCTCTTAGAGTATCCAGACACAAAAACAATAACAAAATTAATGTAGAGTCACCTAAAGTCCAAGGTCCCAGTGGGAGGTGGGTACTCTGGATATCAAGAAGCGGGGATGATCAAAATAATGGAAGCAAAAAATCAAAACCCAAAAAAATCACTAGGGCTTCAAACAAACCCCCCAATAAATCCCTGGACCAAAAATTTACCCCCCCCCCCCAAAAAAAAGAAAAAAAGAAAAAAGAAACTCAAACGGTAAATATTAAAACCGCCACAAAACAAGTTTGGTTGTACTTTATTTGTAGAAAAAAAATCAGAGTCACTTGAAATCCGGAGCACCCCCTCTGGCATTTAAGTGAGGACCGCTACGCAAGTGACATCAATTTGGGAAATACTGCTAAGTCAATGGCATGATCCTGACTACTAAAAAAGTTTCACACACCTGTATGGACCCTAACATGATCCTTTAGATGTGACGATACCCTAAACTGTTTGCCACAGGTGGTGCACTTGTAAGGCTTCTCTCCCGAGTGTAATCTCAAGTGAATATTTCTGCTGCTTGGGTGACTAAACAGCTTGCCACAGACATGACACTTGTAATATTTCTGGTCACCATGAACATCTTTACAGTGTTGACGCAGCATTGCCAAACCCATGTACTGTGAGTTGCAGCGTTCACATTTGTACATGCGAAGGCGTTTGGACATCAGTGAACCACTCATTTCTTGGGTAAATTCATCTGTTCCAGAAACTGTATTGGATTGCAAATCTTTGATTAAAAGGATAAAACAGAAAACACACCTGTAAGTGTAATATGCGTTATATATCTCAGTCGATACAATACCGAGTAGTACAAAGTCGAGCCTGGCAGTTTCAGTTTCAACTACCTTGTGGAACTTAATTTTGCGGGCACTTAATTTTGTGATTTTGGGGAGACAGTTTTTTGTGGGTTTCTACTTTTCACAATATTACTAGGCAAATGTAAAAAAAGAGCATTAAATTTTGCAATTCCAGAACTCTAGTAAAGCAATTCACCCTAAGTGACTAATGTGAGACACACAGTAGACAAAACCCGTCATAGATAATTTATTGTTATTATTGTAAAAAAGTATTACATTAATGGTTTTGTCATTGTAAGCACCTTGTTCATCCATATCTTGATCAAGACTTCCAACCTCCTCTGTATCACTTTTATTAACTTCTGCCATTTCCAGATCTTGCTGATCACCACCAGTATCACCTACTCCTTTAACTGGTTTGCTATGAGGTAAATTTTCCTCTTTGCTGCCTCTTGAGAGTTTTAAGCTGTTTTTCATTGGTGCAGCATTGCCACCTGTCAGTTGAGAGTTTTCTGATTCTATCCAAGTGTGATTACGTTTAATGCCTGATTTCCTGTCAAAAGATGGAAGTCTATTTAACAAAACTATTATTTTACTTATTATGTATGTCAAACAGGACATACAGTGATTCATCTGATATCCAGATACCAAGAAGATGAAAAAAGAGGAGCAGCCAATTTTTTTAAGACCAGGGTGTCTGGGTTGAGATACAGAAAACCTGGCCAGGGCTGTGCACTAGCAGCACCTGATGGCCACTGGTGCCTTACATTTGCTTATGGGTGACTAGGAAATCTGAGCTTTTTTCCAAAAATCCTGTCCTAGGCTAGATTTCACAGGTTCAGAGCAATGGGCTTTGATCCCTTTAATTTTCTTAGAGTATAGCCTTGCGAATGTAAGACATAACTGCTAACATCTGACATATAAAATAAAGAGTTTGACTGACTGAATTTCAGATGCTACGGTGCAGGTACTCCATCCATAATTAAGATTTTTGAAACCATCTCCTTTAGAGGATATCAAATACTCAAGGTTGAGTAGCAGTATGCCTACATGCTTTATGCTACAGAAAAGGGGTAGCCTTTGGCCATATGAGCTTCAATGGCTTGACAGTGTGGCTTTATAATAATAATTATTATCTCCACATTTTATATGCTGTTAGCAGGAATGCGATGAGGAAAATTATTTTATTATGTTGGTTTTAAAAACTTGTCAGAGAACACTAATCAGATCCAAGCTGTTTGACTACGTTAAAGCTAAAGAACTTTTTGAAAAAAGTGCCATTCTATGTGTAACGGCCATACCTCTGTAACACCTCGTCTAAACTCTTACTTTCTCCAACTGTTGATTTGTCCTTCATTCTGAATCACTGCATTCTAGTCAAACAACATTGTAACAAAGAAAAAATTATGCCAAATATATATATGACAAAGAATTATCAGTACAAAATAATGCAGACTATACAATCCCAAGGGTAGGACTTCCTTTATTAATGGTTGGGAAGTAGTAAGGATTGAGGGCATCCCCCAATGATAATAAAGTCTTGCATGTGTGCGTCACTAGTACTAGTTTTGGTTACAATAAGGTTATAATCTTGAAGGGTTTTAGCGATGGGTTCATCCTTCTTTGGTAGGCCTAGGATTCAATGCCACAGTAAGAATATTGTGGCATGACCGGATTTGACTTCTTAAACAAAATATGTACATGACATAAAAACACTGAAAATACCAAAGCACAAAAAGTTGTACAGTGTAGCTAGAACACATTTTTTTAATATCTAAATAATTCACCTTGTTTCACTGTGAATATTTCAAACAAACAAAGCAGAAATTTAGGTCTAAACTTGACCCAGTAACGATTTCTCTGGAAGATTCATGAGATTGTGTTCTATAAAAAAAAAATACCTCAGACATTCCCGGACATTTACATCATACAAGGAATGTAAATAGTTTAACATGATCATTCATCATGTGTATAGAATTACCCTGATTGTAGTCTGGCAGACAAAAAATGCTCCAGTGTTCACCCTCAAAATTGACCTTGGGAACTTTCAACACATTGTCTGAGTTTTTGCTCACTGTGGCAACATAAATAATATCCCAAGAAACCAGTAATTTTTTTGCAATGTTAGTCGGCTATATCAAAAAAATATTCCAAATTCAGAGGTTTGTATTTGAATGCAAAACAAACCAAAAAAAACCACCACAACAACACATTTTATTGAGATTCAAAATACAAGTACATTGTAATATTACGTTACTTTCCCACCCCCAAATAGCTTATAACCTAATTGAGGCAGGGGAGGGTTGGAAGGACAAATTTAAAATGTAAGGTTCAACTATTAGATGGACTAAACAACAATTAAGACACTACAATACAATTAACAGGATAAAATAACATAAAAAAATACATAAAACTAAGATAATTTGCGAAACAATTTAATAGGATGGGGGACTTCAACATAATTATCTTAAGACTGCAAGAAATCTACTAATAATTTCCTAAAAGCAGTTGTGCTGCGAATCTCCCTCTGAAATTTTTTTATTAAGAAATGAATCCAATTATTCATTGTTCACAACTTTGGTCTTAGGTCCTTGATAAATGATCAATTTGATGTGATTAAGAACACGCAAAGAATAGATGGGTGCAGCTACAGCTGTAACTTACATGCAAAGAACGTGCATCTGCCAAGCTGATTGACTATGTAAAAGACATAAACACAACATTGATAGATCAACTTTAATAGAGTGGATTGGAACTTGTGACAGCCGTTTTGCCCTTTTTGTGGTTCATCAGAAGAGCGTAACAAACAGAAAGGCTCTGCTGTGAAAACAATGACCACACCCTCTGTTAAAAGCCCCAAAATGGGACAGCAAGATTGTGCTCTAAGAAGAAAATAAGAAATCCAGGGTGCTGAGCGTAAACAAAGTACAAATATGTCTGAATCAAAGGTTTGAACTTGATTCGGCAGAGCAATCAAGTTCAACAAGTGCTGCAGGACTCTAGTACAGTAAACTGAGATCAGATAGCCTCAGTTGTTCAAAAGCTGAATAGCGTTATCTAGCGGATGGTAAACATTAGGAAAAACCAACTGCACTATCCAATACTTACAGACGAATCAGGTGTATAGCGTTATCCAATTTTTTAATAAACGAGACTAGCAATTAAAATGTTGCACTTATGCCAAGCCAAACTAACTTCATCAAATTTAGAAAATGTATTTTTTGAAATTTATATATTTTGTTATCGATTACCATGAACTTGCACTCTGGTAAAATGTCTGATTCTATTGAACCCAATCATAACTAAGTTATTAAGTTTGGCAGAGCAGACGCATCACGTATTAACTGGGCCTAAAGTGGGTAAAACTAAAAATGTCTGATCAAGCATTAATGCACTTTTTGTTTCTAGAAAGATCTCACAAAAAAATGGAATTTCGATTTCTAACCATTCACTCCTGCTGTTCTTTCATACTGGCTTGGACTGTGAGTTTTCTTTTTTCCTTTAAGATGTGATTTTTAAAAAGGGTGACATACATAATATTAACTACATAAAGAGTTTTACACATCTGTTAATTCGGAAGGTCTTTTCCAGAACCGGAGACGGGGTCAAATTTAGTACGCATACGAATACACATTCCATATTGTTTCCGCTGGCAACATTCTCAGATAAAAAATATCTACCGGAAACTGAGTTACACCTGTAAACTCGTTAATGCATTCTACAGAACTAGTATTCTATTTTAAAAGCCTCCGTTGCAAAGCAAAACATGAAGAACAATTATTTCCTTCATGATGAAAATAAATTGAAAGCTGTTATCAAATTTATGCAAAAAGCCCACTTACGCGTGAATACAAGAGGGAAAGTGATGGCTTACACGTGCGGCGCTCAAACAGTTTCATTGCACGACGGGTATACTCGACGATTCTTCCACTTCCCAATCCAAAATAAAGTGAAAAGAAATTCTCCCCAATATAGGTTTATTCAACTCTGAAAGTATTATTCAACAATGCCTAGAATACTGTGCGAGACAGTAGGCATAGAAAAACTATAATTTACGTGTAGTAACGGAAACTGCACGTGCGGACAATTGGCTTTCGTTTCACCTTCGTCATATATCATCAAAAAGGTCTGCTGTAAAGCGTTCAAGAACAACAAATGTTAAAAAGCTTATTGGTCACAGGGAATGTAATCCTCTAAAGGAGTTTGTTCCACCCCTGAAAACCAACACGCGGAGTATCGCCGGTATGTCAAGTATGGCGGCAGTGCATTACTAAAACGTGAAGGAGATCATGCCTTTGACCCGAACACGGGAGTTGTTTAAATTACAACAAACCTGGTATTTCGGAGAAAATACCGCGAATAAAGTCGATTTGGTGATTAAAGGGCTGAAAAATGAAATAAAACGTCCAAAAAAAATCTATGCTGCATATGACTGAACATGGTGGATCGCTCACGTTTCATACGCTAATAAAGAATCACGTAAAATTTCTAAAATTTCAGCCGTATGTCACTGAATTTGCGCGCAAAAAAACGGTTTGAGGCAGAAATATTACACAAAATAGTATTTTCCTCGGTAGTTAGGCGATTTAACCGCTTTTTTAGCAGGCAAACCCATCACATAACATCGAGGATGCCAAGGGAAGTAAACGAGGAAATCGACCATGCCATCTTTTGACATCAAATTTCACGTATGATGCTAAAACGTGTATTCACTGATGAAGAAATGCCCTTACCTCTGCAAAAAAGCCCAGAAGATTGTCTTCCTGAAGTGTAAAAGAAGTTTTTAAGTGAAACAGTTAAGAAAGTGGCCACCAAAGAGCAAACTTGAAAGCGGAATGAACTTTTTTCACGTACAAATGAATACCGGCAAGGAACCTTCGCTAGTTTGGTGGCAGCTGGCAGAAAACGTGTTTGTTTTTGATCGACGTGTTCCTTGTGAGTCACGTGGTCACCGTGCTAAAAATATCGATCATAGTAATAACTCATTTATAGCCTCTTGCAGGTAAAATAAGTTCAAGATCCCAACTAGAACTGAAACGGTGTAAATTTAAAGCACTTTTAAACCGCTGAATACAAAATAAGTATAGATCAGAAAGTGGAAGAGGGAATAATCGATGCTTTTTGGGAACTTTCAGGTGATTTTAAGTGAGCTAAAGTACTTTCGAATTCCTTAGTGCCGTTTCTAAGTAAACTGTCTCAGAAGTACCAAAAATTTGCTCAGCTTTATTTTAACACAGGATGAATGTTCCTTATCATGAGTTACGTTTTCAAAGTTCATACAAACAGTGACTTCAAAGGAATTTAAAAGTCATGCGAAATCGCGGAAGTTATCCTCGATCAAATCCTCGATCAGAACAACGACTTGGGGATTTCTCCTTGCGCCCAAAGTTGGAACCCCCTTGAAACCGAACCTCCATTTCGTAATTGTAGAAAAATCAGAATAATCACCATCTTATTATTTTTTTTCTTCGAACAGCGACACATAACTTCCTTTCTTTAAACGGAAAATCTATTCTCCTCTACGGACTTCCGCTGTCTCAAATGTTGGGTGAACTGCCCAAATTATAGGATCGCATCGCGTGCACATTATACCTAAATATTCTAAGGTTAGCGGGCAGAACACGCGCTATTTCTGCGTTTTCTAAGGTATAGTGATGTACTAACCTAGTTAATAAGAAGAAAAACGAAAACGGGTCGAAGCTCTACCAACGCAAAAAGCGTTATTTCTGAGCGGTTTCTTAAAACTATTTGCTCAATGGAGCGTCCCTCTTTGCGGTTTCCTTTTGACGTAGTTTCCTGGTTTTCTTACGTGGTTTAGGCGTAACTAAATATATTGTTGCTGTCTGGCCATTTTAGGAAGTATTAACTGCACGAGAGATACACATGATCACATTGTGTATTTTAAAAAGTATTAGCAAAAAATAATAACAATTTCTAATTAATCCTTTTAAATTCCATGTTATTTTTGGTTGATCACATGAGTCATGGAAATCAGCGAATGGCAATTTTTGGGTTCACCTTGCCGTAAAATGTAGGTCAAGTAACGAGACTGTCACGGGATCGGCAAAAGGTGTGGTTCAGTTGTTATTGTTTTTGTTTTAATTAATCAAGGTGTTTTGTCGCTATTAAAATTATCCTTTTCCTGTAGTGTCAGACTATTAATAAGATTTTGAGTCAGTACCAGCTATTTAGAAACTGTTCACGGCTTGTTATAGGTGCTTGTTTTATTTGCGGCCATCAAGGCCTCCTTTTATTCAGTCTCCAGTGCATTTGCCTATTATATTACTGTCTATATCAAGTCTATATATAAGCGTGGAGTATATATTTATATATCCCACGCTTCCCGGCTAGCTTCGTGTCTGATAGCTTCAAAGAATGACTTGCGATTCAAGTCCTACTTCCATAACACGATTCACAAGCAACAATCAAACAAATTATTTTTCTTTGAGTAAAATGTTGCCTAAAAACACATCCCAAATCATTTGTGCTGCATTGATTATTACGTAACTACTTTTTTTTCGCTTAGGACCTTGAGTATGAAATTTTTTTGGAATTTGAATGCATGAAGCAACTTCATTCTTGGACAGTTATGTCAAGTTAATTGCTCTGAAAAGATCAGTGTGTGTAAAAACTGTATTGGTTTCACACAGTTTATAGTAAATTAGGGGATCTCCCCTAGTTTTAGACTTCGGAGAAACCACCATTCAAATGAAGCCTTTTCATGACCAGCAGCCCTTTCACTCGATACTAGTTTTGCAAAGGATTTTACATGCATGCCAAAAATTGAATTTTTGAAGCTTGGGTAAGACCACGTTTAAATAAAAAAGACTTGAGGCCAGAAATAGCTTGCAACTACATTAAACCGCAATCAGTCTAAGCATTTCCCTAAGGCATAAGTTGAGATCTGGCAAGCTATTTCTGGCCGTAGTGATCAGTTTCGTTCAGAAAATTGGACGCTTTATATCAAAATGTTCGTTTCTTAGCTTTAAAGGCCGAACTGTGAGTATATAATCTCAAAGTTGGTTAACGTGCATGACGCCATATGAACAGTGGATACCGCCGTACCGCGCATATTTTATAAGTTCCTATGCCAATGCAATCTTTCTGGCTTCGCTTTTAAATTCATGTTACTCATTTTCAATTTTACGAACCAAACTGAGAGCTTTAAGAAGGACAAAAGAAAAAATAACCATGTACATACCTGTAGTTTATATAGAGCAGGTACGTTTTTCCTAAGGCCAGACCGCTAGAACCGATATACGCCACAACTTTAGACAACTTTCGCGTCGTACGCAATAGTCGGAATCAATACAATAAATGAATGTTTAGCGGAAAAACCGCAATAAATCGCACTGAGTCCGTGTTTTAAGGCCAAAGCTATCCAAAGTAGAACTGTGGAAAAAATTTCAAGCAAATTGCCGCGCGCTTTGTCAGTTTTTGGTGTACCTTTCGTGTCTCTGATTACCAGTCCTGCTCACAGCAAGTGAAAATAATACCTTACTCATTCCGTACGTGATTTATCCACGACACTATAACCTTTGTTCCGCTGTGGGCACAACATAATACAGAAAACGTTTAAAGTATTATGTTTTTAATACTTTCTAGATTGTAGCCAGCAATGTTGCCGTCGAAGTTGTAAACCGCCAGAAAATGGGAAAGTTATATACTTACAGTATTTCGTACATGTTTAAAGCGCTCTCAAATTGTATCTAAAATCAACCTCCGAGTCTGTTGTAAATTAGCGATTGAGAACGATATTTGATGTTTATGCTCAAAATAGCCTTGGCATTGAACGTGGTGATAACATAGCTAGAGAAATAACATTTTTTGACCTTTTCCATGTGGGGTCATATTAAGCTTTGTGATGTAAACTCTACTGGAAAAAATGAAGATAGCAGAACTTTCCTTTCTACGAAACGTTTCGATTCATTTGCGTAATTTTCTCTGCATTATTATTCTCCTACTTTACTTAGCTTTCACATTTTCTTCCCCACTTTTTATTTTTTACTGCAGCCGCCCGGATTTAAACTGAGGAACAACGTTGGTGGCGGCTGTCCCTAAGTACGTGACTGTTTTCAAATAAACCTTCCGAAACGTGAGGGCGACAAAACGGTCAGGAAACCCGGTTACCCTTTTCACAGAAGGGAAGCTTATTAACACTCAGTATTAAAATTCACATATTCTAAGGACATCGCTGAGTATACTCACGTACAACATAGATTCAGAACTGTGCAATGTCATGAAATGATACAAGTGGTCGGCAATGCGTAATTGTGCCCTAAGGGCTTGGGTATTCACGGTGTGTGTATTCATGTAACACATGCTATTGGGGGTAGCAATGTTAAGACTTTACACTTCATCAGTAGTAACAGAAGTGTAATACGTCCTCGAATATTCAATTTAACTTATCAAGCAGATTTACCAAGCATAAAATATTTAGTCACTTGTGATATTCGACCACCCGTACTCACCCACTCGGGAGTGGCCAAAATGCAAACTTCAAGTACAATTTTATTTTTAAAATATACTGATAAACAAGTACTAGAGAGTACTGTTGAAGATCTCTGTTTTCATGGGAACAACTGCCAGTTATCCAAAATTGACATATAAATATTTCAGGTCCTTTAACGCAACAGTGGCTTTGACACCATCGTCTAGGAGCCCATTCTGTGCGCCTTTAGGCACTGGAGCCGTAAACTTAAAAGTCAATATGTGGTAACTGAATTTAAAAGGTCTTAATATATTGTCTTTTGAATATAACTTAAGGCAGTTTGTTCCTATTTTCACTCGTGATGAACGTCAGCCACAAGACACTGATGCGATTATCAAGTTTATTTCTTCCGGTCGCTTGGCGATGCCGACAACAATGAGATGATCTCGATGACTCGATCCACGACTGATTGATCGCTTTAGTATAGACTTTGGTTGCAGCAAAAGCTGTATGGCAGGCCAGGTCTCGTCAGCTTTTTTCTGTAAATGCAATCGGTCGTACGATCTTGTCCACTACACGTTTTGAAAGTTGCTTACTTTGATTGCTGTAGGTTCAAATGTGAAATGGTTTTCACTAAAAACAATTGATTGAAAACCAACCATTGAAGAAGAATTTCTTTATTCAAAAGAAAAAATCTTAAATTTAATCATTAGCCATAAAGAAGACAATTTTTTGCATTAAATTTATATTGCGTTTAAGGGTAAATATCTGTAATCAGGAGTAAGTTTGGGACGGGAACAGTCGTTATTCAATGGCGGCTGCTACACAGTAGGCTAAGCCAATAAGAATAAAGAAAGGCATTAGAATTACACCCAGCACCAGGTAACCAGGCGTCAGGAGTAACACCCACGGACAGGCTGAAAGAGAAACTCAGATGTTTAGTATGACTCAGTTTTGCAATTGTGACTATTTACATTGGTTTGGGCATCTAGTGGAAAGGGTGAACAGTATCGACATAGAGGAAAATACGTGCAGTTAGTAGCTGGTAATAAGAAAGAATCAGACTTGAGTGAAGATGGGCAATTTAGTTGAAATGGAGAAGAGTGTGGTCCGTTGAGAGACTGTAAAGGGAACCGGAAAAATGGGAAAGAAATCAAATGGGATGAAAACTGGGAAAGAAGATGTACAGAATCACGGCGGTCGGGAGTCTGACGATATATAGTTTAACAAGACAGCGATCGAGAGGGGGAAATAAAAACAATCGGTCGAAGTAAGACTGAAACAAGAGCCATTGTGGCTCTTAACTGCAGCTAGAGAAGATGCAGTCTCTTGACATATCCAAATACAACAATGAACAGCCAAATGAAATGCAATAAAATTACAAAACTACGATAAAACTGTCGCAGTTGAAGAGAAAAAAATTCTAATGTATTTTCGTGGTGAGAGACTGGATTGGGGTAACGGTTTGAGGGACGCTGCGTGTCATGGGAAGGTGCAAGGGGAATATAGCGTCGCTGCGATATATAACTCCAAGCGTGTCTCTCCAATATCAAAGCGAGTCTGTACTTGCTGGGTTAACGGGAACAGCGTGGTTCTATTATTAGGGGCCCCATCGGGTAGGAAATCAGCACGGATAATACCTTGGGTGCCAGAGAATTTTCATGCTAGAAGCCCATAACCATGGGCTCCTCGGTCATGTCGATTTCAGTCAAGTCTTTGTACTGTGGTGACCGGCGCGAAAAGCCTCTGGACCACATCGCTATTGCTTTGATAGCGCCGAGCTAATTGCAAGCACGGTTACATCTGCTTATAGTCCAGAATTTGAACGTGACGGGGTTGGCTTCGCCACTTGTGGCTTCAGCATATAGCCAAAAAATTCTCAGTTTGCGGCCGTCACCGAAGCATCCCTCCACACGCAAGGGCGAGAAAAGTACCTCTGTTACCCAAGGTACACAGAGAACAGAGTGGTTTTGCATCTTGATATTAAGAAGAAACGTTGTTAGTACAATAAAGCAACGCACCCTTTCCGTGCAGGCTGTACCAGGGGCGTTCTTTTTCACACAGCAAACAACCGTAACAATAATCACAGCGGTATTCCAGAGGCTTCCTTGCGTCTTCCCTAGATAGTGATAAATTGGCGTTACTTTATGTATTTAAAAAAAGAAGAAAAAAGCAAGTAGAGGGAAAAGAAAAAAAGCGGAGAGTTAGAAAATAGAGAGATTAAGCATCGCGTTTACGGTGAACGGCAAACGTGAATTTGTACCACGTGAGCAAGTTTCCCCTTTAATTGTCTTTACTGTTCAATATAACTACACGAAAATCGGTAGTTTCACGCCAATTCTATCCATAAGAACCGTTTTAAGCTTTTTTTTTATCTGCTCATTTGCCATTTTGAAAATTTCCAAACTTGAATCTCACGTTTGCCGTTTGCCGTAAACGCGATGTTTAATCTCAGTAACAAGAGGTTCCGGGCAGAGTTGTTCGATTTGAGATCGAGCTCTCACAGTTGCAAGCATCCATCTTGGTTTCAAATCACCGAGGGGGTAGGCATGTGCGTTTACTCTTCCCCAGGTTAGACTCGGGTGAGACTGGATACATTTGAAACCAAGATGATTGCACGTAATGGTTAGCGCTCCATCTAGTCGACATAGTGTTACTGAAAAACAGGACACTATAAACAGGGTACTTTTGACTAGGGCTTCATATGTGACCGAGGAAAGCTGTATTAAACTCAAATGTCCAACATCGCATACAGCTTGTAGTCGAATAGCAGGTCCTCGCTAGCGATGCATGCAACACGCACTAAGCATAAGTGACATAAGCATAAGTATAAGAAAAATGCAAGGTTTTGATATATTCTTGTGTTTATATTTATGCGGCTTTATCGCGGCCGTTCTCGCTAGCAGAAAAGCTCCTTATGGTCAGAAGGCTTATGCAGCTTATGCTCGCGTCGCTAGTGAGGACCAGGTTCGCTTGCGCGTTCAACATGAAATTTAAGGAAGCAGAATGGACTGAACGTAACTTCCAGTGCTCAACTTGCCGGTCTGCCATTGGTAGAACGATGTGTGTCGTCATCAGTGTCGTCGATTTGTCTTTGCTTGATTTGCCTATTAAGCGCAAGAACCTTTTTGTTTTAAATCGGGTGATATTCAGACAACATTTCAATTAACCTGCGTTCAGATCGTACAGACGTCTGATTATATAATCTTTGGTGACGCGGATTTAGGAGGCGTCTGATCTCAGGTAAGGTTGTGCACAGCATTTTTATCGCCAATAAAATGTTTTGTTCGACTAGTGACGTTCAGTTCGTTCTTTTGCGCACGTGACTGTACTGCACGAAAAATAAAAATTGCATATAATTAACTTTGCCAGGGGGCAAATATATAAGATGGAATGGGAAATCAGGGGCAAGATGGTAAATACCGTATTGGCCCTCGAATTTTAAACCCGTGTCAGGATGCAAATGAGGTATTTACCATATTTGCCCCCGATTTCCCCGGTGTGCAGTAATTAATAGAGCTGTATGCTATGCTTGACTTGGAAAAACTGCATGCGAAACTCCTTAGGATGTTCTACCACGTGTTTTTTTTTACTAGCAAACACAAGAAGGGATCAATTTAGGTTTCCGGGAAACTGCCCACCTACCCCTCCCATAAGTCAACAAAAACACTTACTTCTCACTTGGTGCAAAATGTTGGCTAAAGGGAGGGGTAGGTGGGCAGTTTTCCAAAAACCTAAATTGATCCAGAAGAAGTTTCTTACACATCATTTGTTATCTGTTTTTCGTCAGCTGGTTGCGGTTCAAAGTCCTCTTCTTCCACCTGAACAGCTACACTTGTACAATTGTGATGTGGTAACAATCTGAAACCAACGAATCGAACCATGAACAAATACTTGGTAAAGCTATGGTCACCTAATCTGGAGGTAGCTTAGCCTGGGACCGGGCTCCGCAGTGGGAGAAAAAGCCAAAAAACGGGATCAAATAGAAAAAATATCGGCAAGCGAAGCGAGCTGAGCAGTATCCTGGAGAGGGGGGAAGGGCTGCGCACCCTGGGCTGCGCACCCTTTCCCGTTCGCTCGCCGATTTTTCTCTTTTTTCGCCAACGCCGATTTTTTCTCTTTTTCCCCACAATGCGGAGCCTGGTCTCGGGCTAGAGACAGCTAGAAAGGGCACCATTACGTCATTTCCATGGTCTGTACTCTAATCGATCATAGCTCTCGACCAATCAGCGCTCGAGGAATCGCTCAGTTATTCTAAAATATGAAAATTGAGAAAAATCCTAAATTTTATTTGGAAAATTGTACTGTGCAAAAGTACTGCTTAAAAGGTTTCCCTGGTAATTGCATAGAATTTCATCCTCAGATTCTAAAGTTAGAACAACATTTTCTCTATTCCTGTTAAGTCAGCGAGTGAGGGTTACTCGATTTCTTCAAGAGCCATTGTGGCTCTTTATTTCTTCTCTTAAATCTCTTAGTAACACGCGAGAATTTTCCTGCGCCTTCTAGTAACTTTCCTATACCACAAGAGTGAAAGAATAAGGCGTAGCCTTTCCATAAAGCCCGTTTTTCAAATTACTTTCAGGTCCCATCTAGTCTCTTTCTTTCTCTGGAGAAGAAGTAGCTATCCTTTGCTGTGAGTGAGCGACCAAACAAACTACGAGAGGTTAAGCATCACCTTTACGTCAAACGGCAAACGCAAATTTGTAGCATGTGACCAAGTTTCCCAGTTACTTGTCGCTTAATGTTCATTATTTCTACACATAAATTAGTCAGTTTCACGCAATTTTTGTATCCATAAGAATTGTTTTGAGCTGTTTTTATCTGCTCATTTCCTATTTTGAGAAATTCACATCTTGAATCCGAGTACGTGAAGTTCTCTAAATACGTTACCTTATTTCACAATCTTGTATGTTTCGTATATCAACTTGAGTCCCGCACCTAGCAGTGAAATTGAAAACAGGGAGGCCTTTTTGAACTAAATAACTGAAGATCAATTAAAATAGTCTCATAAGAGTTTTGTATCACACTAACACAACAAGCTATCTAAAGAAAACCACTTAATGTGTCATTCTACGATTGCTTACGCCTTAGGAAAACCTCGGCCTAGTTAACATGGCTAATTCATCTGTTATGCGACTTCCAAACTAGCTAAACGCCTAACTTTAACGCTGGACCTTAGCAGTTACGCCTTAGTTAGGTCGGTTGTTTATGTTGTTTTAATTTATAACTTTACTGGGTACAACAGCACTGTAAAGTTAAATTTCACTGAAGCAATAACAACAATGAACAAAGAAAAGAACCACAAAAACAATGCACAGATGAAAAAAAAAAATGTTGAAAAAGTTATGAGCCTCAAAGGACCCTAAAAGGGTATATAAAAACGGGACACACTCAACTGGTCCCAGGGCGGGGCCCAAACAGAGCTTGTCCTGTTCTGGCCCCTCTGTAACAGAGAGAATGGGGCCAGAACCGGACTAAAACAGAGCTAGTCGTTAACTTAACTAAGGAGCCAAAACGGTTATCGACGTAAACATTCCCTGGCGTATTAGGGATTAATAACATGTATGGAACCTCAATCAAAAATATTTTCCCGAAGGACTTATTCATTGCCTGGACAATCTACTAGTACTTACTCGACAACAGTCATCATTCTTCGCACGTCATATGACTTAAGGTGTCATGGAGATTTTTCTGCTTTTCCTGAATTTTAGACACTGTTAAAAGAAAAGCGAGAAAATGTTAGTTTCAATCGGGCAGGTCTATGCTTGCCTACAAAAATATGGTTTTTATCATTTTAAGTTTCAGGAAAATCCGTTTGGAGAGTAAATGGAACACACTTTTCAAAAATCTCGCAATCTGTTAACTTGCTCGGTGAATACTTGCGTGCTCTCGAAAATGATATCGATAGCTTGGGTAAACATAAATGTAAGCCTTTCGTAAAGAATGAAACAGAGGAACAATTCTACAATTCAGCCGAGAAATTCAATTAAAAAAAGTTTGATAACGATAATGGTGTTTCCGTCTGCTAGCAATATCTATTTTGAGTTCGCGGAAATATTAAAATTTTCCAGAATCGTTATGTTTTGTTTTTTCCGGTTGTAAAAATGGCTTATTGTGGTCATAATCTCATTATATTCATGCAGAATTCATATCTAAAGATTAACAACATATATATGGCTGATATTGTCAAATGAACTTGATGTGAACGATTGTAAGTCTGATAAAAGCTTGAAAAGCATTCTAACTTCTATTAGTGAACGACGGTTAATAGAAATGTTCTTCAATTTTAAATGAGCCTTTTTCCCCGTGCTTTTTGAGTGCACAAACAATTAATATAACTTTTAAATTCGTAATTAACTATAAATGCGCATATAGGATCATTCTCGCACGCGACGTCACAACCACTGCCTCCTTGTAGCAGAAAATACTATTCATGGTAACAAAAAAGTTTGATATTCACCTTCCTCAAGAAACAAGCGTCGTCTGGCGTAAACAAAAATGTTTGTGTTGCAGAATAATTCGTTTACAATTACCGACACAGTGTAAATATAGATTATCGGACGTGCAGGAATGAATTTTTTATCTTTATCAAATTACTGTTTTGACAGTACAACGACACGAAAGCATTAAGTCTAAGATTTTGTATCACGGATTTAGTTATAATTTTTATTGGTAACTTGCTTAGACCCCAGCTGGAAACAGGTTGTACTTTACAGCAATCTTTCATTTTCTATACTGTTAGACTTTGAGGTTTTCTTCAAAAAAGAAGCCAGCATTAGATTTCAACAGTAGAATTGTAAAACATGACAGAACAAGACATTTTGTATGTGTTCAGAAAAATAAATCATCTGAAGCCATAGAGCAAATAATAATACTGCTAATTATAAAAACGAGAGTTTAACACCTTTGAAACTATATTGCTCTAAAACTTCCTTTTTCCTTGGTAAAAAATGATGCAACTGACGTGCTAATGTACAACAGTAAGCACATACCTGAATCAGATCGCAGGAGGAATGTAATGCCAGGCTGTAATATATATAACTTTATTCAATCTGATTCTATCCTGGTTTCCAGAGGAGTCGATAAAAGTGCGTAAACGGTTTAGAGTTGTGTTATTTTAGCATCTACTTCTTGTTTTGTGTTATAGTATCTGAGATATATCGTTAGTCACACACTGAGTAATTGAACTGTATTCTCAAGTATGTATTTGGCAAATTGCCGAAATCTTATAGATCTTACAAAATATAAACCAACGACTGACAACCACTCAGGGTAAAGTCTGATTTGCTGTTTAGAAATAATTTACCTTTATCTCACATTTATTCGATTCGATTCAAGTACATTTGCATTTCAGTCAATAAATGAAATATTACCTTTGTGCCACGAATAAAGAGTGAGTAAATTAATTCATAAAACCAACGTATTCCGTTCAAGGTTTTGAAGTCATTTAATTTAATTTATGATGGCTGTTGTTTTGTCATTTATCAATAAATCAAAATTTGATCGCCTCAAGATCTCCTATGACGTAAAGAAATCTTTTAAGAATTTATTTTTAAGTTCAAAAGTGCTTATGTTCATAATTTTACTTTGTTCAGTGTACCTTATAACTGAGGCAGCTAACCAAATTGCAATTCACCTCGAATTTAATCAGAAAGTAGGAGAGTTTAGAACAACAGTCAATTTTATTGATACAAACTTATCTTTTCGCAGTCTCATGGCGCCGAAGATGAATGATGTATTTGTACACTATTTTTTATCATCATTATTTAGGGAGAAAACGATGAAATAATAGGCGTAATTGCAAAAAATAACTATAGTCTTCAGCTATTTTAAAAGCAACGACAGCGTGATTCCTCAATCTACATCTTGTTTAGCTCATCCAAGAAAAACAGCTCTCCAATTTTGACAATCTCGGATGTTATGTTATTGAGGTTGACTAATATTCGACCGGTGATTTTATCTTGAGTTAGTTTGCCATGAAATAAATATTGAACTTACAATAATAGTACTAATATTAATGGAACTAAAACAGGCTTGTGTAGCTTGTATGTTTAGTTTTCCCCTTTCAGACCATATGATGTTTACAAGAAAACAGGGGCACCCAACGTCAATTTTCTGCCGATTTGAGATCTAGAATTTTCGGAACATTTCTTGTAAAATTTCTTGCCTGCCTGCCTCTTCTAGGATTTTCGAACATCTAAAAATGGTATAATTACCCTTTTTTAAAAGATTTTTTATCCTCAATAGGTCACCTAGAATTTTCGGGAGCCTTTTTTCTGGCTGAAATTTTTGAAAAGGTAAGCTTTGATCCCTATAATTTTCGGATCACTAGACTTTCAGCTAGGAAACCCGAACAGATGAAAAATTTTTAGGGGATAAAAAAAACCCCTATATTTGCACTATATTCTCGTTGGGTGCCCCTGTTTCTTGTAAATGCGATATGCATGCGCAACTTACGAAGAGACAAAAAGCATGATCCACTTTGGAGCATCACGTAGTCTGAATTGATAAAACAAAACATACATTAAGCTAAAAAGGGTCTATAAAAAGATTGTCAGGTGACAGCCACACACGGGTGACAAATTATTTTGATAAAAAGCTAGTTCATATTAGATTCTTCATCTAGGAAGAGATCGAAGGACCCTTCAATGTTTGCCAATAACACAGCCGAGTGACAGGGTATTCTTCAGTTACCATATTTTTCTTTTCATTCGCGTTCACGGATAACGCGAAAAAAAATTTAAACCGGCTCTAAACGTAACTCGAATTTCAACTCGAAATCCAACTCCAACTCGAATCTAAACTCCTGCATGCCTTACTCACGTGTTAGACTTTGAACCACTATGCTGAGCTGAACTGGAAATGGGATACTCGAAGCAACCTCGCTTTTTAGGGATTTTCGATCGATAAATGTGTTATTCACATTATGATCAATGACAAAGTCTTTAAGAATGGCGACCAGGTGGAATAGTTAGCTAGAAGGAACGGCAGATCCGGGAAAGTCGTGAAGTTCAGCCAAGCCTTTAAAATTATAGCAAGGCTTAGCACTTATCAAATAGAGTCATTATGATCGTTCAAGCGCTTATCACTAACCACATCGCAAGTCTATAGTTTAGAAGGTGTCTAAAAGGTAAAGTGAAAACGCAGGTGGAAGTATTAGCTAGTATCTCCCGCTCGATGTTAAATGTGAAAGAAAGGTGAAAAAAAGAACCAAGATCGCAAATACATTCTACCGATTTTGCACCAGACTAAGTTCTGACTAAACCAGAAGACCAAAACTGCCTTCTCCATAGGGTTCCTCATAGCCTGTGAACAGGCCTTTGGTCGAGCAGGGAATTAGGCCATTTTTTTCCCCAAACAGAGAGCCTGTTCACAGGCTAGGTTCCTCAAGGCTTGGTGAGGAACACGGGCTTTTAAAGCGGGGTGCTGGAGACGAGTCAGAAGCGAGAGTAGGGGATGACGGGAATGGGTACAGAGCGCGAGCCTTATCATCGTAGTTAAGAAATGAGTAGCCTAACGGTAGCTCTTTTTGGAGCTACGTGCTCTTCGCTTGCTTTTGGTTATTTTCTCGGGAAATTCCGCGGATTACGAAGGGACGCCGAATATTACATTCAAAAGTCGGCTCGGGGTTCTAAGCAGACTGATGGCTTAAAAACGTTTCTAGAATACGTGGCAGAACATTCTTCCCCAGAGCCTCACTCAGTTGCTGAACTGAGAAAGGTAGGTTCTAAAAGAAACACTAGAGTTCATAACTTCGGGTCTCACATGTTGATAATATCCCACTGCTTTATTCCAAAGCCAGCTTCATAAGTTTGCCTCCCCTCAGTGGAGTACCTTTGGAAACCTGATGAAACCGGAAGAGGAATAGACCTTTTCAAGGTTGCTATTGTTTTTTTTTAAGTTTTGTTAAAGAACAGTAAGGACCAGTAAGCGAATATCCAACGACATTGTTGGACTTAAAGAGCGCCTTAAAATTAGTAAACCTACCAAGTTTAAAGGCGATGCATCCAAAACGAGCAAAGCTATCATGCAAAGTCGCGAATTTTTACAAAGGTTTGTATGACCGGAGGGCTTGCCCCCCTCCATACAATATACAATAGGTGCACACAGACTTTTGTAAAATTACGGACTTTCGAAGCTATATCTTTGTCATTTTCAACACATGACCTATAAATTTAGTGGCAGATTTACTGGTTTAAGGCGTCCTTTCCAGCCGTTTCGACAGTTTTTCTCTAACTGAGTCCCATTCAAAATTTGAAAAACCTTGGAAGCGTATACTGATTATCATTTTAACTAGTTTCAACTATTTATAGAACTGAAATTCAGTCAAACAAATAAAAATTAACGTTAGCGATTCCTCCCTATTTTGTTTCTACATTTCAATTGAACAATGACAAAAGTCAAACAAACATTGCAAATTAATTACTCTGACTTCATTAAATTTGTGCGTTTTGCTATTGAAATATTATATATAAAGCCTTCTTCTCTCTCCCATAATTTTGTTTTTAGTTATGCCACGTACCGTCATACCTTCCGGCGCTGTTTGTTAGCTCTAGGCAAACACGCAGTGCCTAGCAAGGCAGATATCTGGTGAAGAAATGGAAACGTACGTGGCCAGGCACGATCCCAAAATGATACGAAGAAAGTAGGAAAAACTGGCGGAATTTTGGTTTCCAACGTCAGTGCCATTTTAGGGCCGATGTGTACAAACACAGCAAAAGAGAGCCGTTAAAGTCGCGCATCGGCACAAAGTGTTTGTCACTTCTCATGAAAAATTTAACGCATTCGGAATCAGCAGGCGAACCAAGCTTTTTGAGAGAAAAAACACTTTTCAGCAAAAAACAACCAAGTCTGACCATTTAATGTAAAATCAGTTGAAAAAATCGGTAAAAGGCGATTTTTAGTTTTTTCGCTTAAGCAACAACGACGGGTCGCGCGACGTCTACGAAAGTCACATGTATTTATCAAAATGTATTTATCATGGGTTATGTAACCTTTTCTTTGGGGTGTTACATGGTATGCTGTTCTATTGCTTCATTATCGGTAGGCTATATATATTTGAGTTGTTTTCATTTACATTCATTCGCGTCTTACGACCGTCCCCACGTCCTCAAAATTAAATACCCAGTGACCAGGGGTTGTCAGTTTCTCTTAGACGTAGTTTTTTGCATTCTGCTGTATGAAAGGTTTAGAAAGTTGTGTATGTTTACTGAATCATTGTTATACGAGCATTGCCTAGTCCCTGTACGGCGTTTTCCCAGTCCCTCTCGGTCAATTCGTTTCGGTGACGTATCCGAGACGAACTGGAGGGGAACATTTTCGCATGGACCACGTGACCCGAAACGCTTTGGCCGCGAGGAAAAATGAGGCCTAGGGACTAGGCAAATACGAGCATCGGTTTAGATCATTTTGTAAGGTTATTTTTCTTGCTGTAATTTTTTAAATTCCCAAGTTTTCATTCTGTTTGTTGTATTATTTCCATCCATTTTGTTGATGAAGGCATAATAAAGAGGGTCGCACACGGCTCGTGTTGACACACCCCAGTTGTGGATGCTTGTCACATGCTAAATGTTTTATATTCGTTTGACCGGGGTAGCGAATTAGATTATAAACGTGAATTCGCTTTACTTCAAACTTTATAGCGCATATTCTAACTCGTTCAATTCGTCAAATGTTGGCAAATTTTTCTGAGGTGGAATTCTAAAAGACTGTATCAAAGTTCAGGAAAAGAGAAAGAAAGTCGTCGTCTTCGTTCACGTCCTCGACAAAACGTAAAATTAGGCACTTTCACGTTGTAGTCGTGCAGCGACAGCAAAGAAATGCAAAAAAACGCGTGATGTACGTGCAAAGTTGTTGTTTTGCCGATCTAAACATATTGCCTTTTTGCCGTTCTCGTTGCCGTCGCCGTCGTCGTTGCTTAAGCCCCTTGTTGTTGGTGGGAATAACAGCCTCGGTAAGGTTATCCAGATACCGGAATCCGGAAAATCTTTGTTGGTGGAATCCGAAATCCTGGGCTTTGGAATTCGGAATTCAACTCAGGAATCCGTAATCCCAGTAACGATTGGAATATGAAATCCAATTTCCACTGACAAGGAATCCGTAATCCCAAGTCCTGAATCCAGTTTCCATTCCAGAACACAGCGGCTGGAATTCGTAATCCACATCGTGTAATTTACACTATCTAAGACTGTCTTGGGTTACCTTACACGGAGCGAATCGCAAGTGCTTGACGAATTAACAAGGCAACATCCAAAATTTAGTTCGGCAAGGAAAAAGTCAACAGGCCGGGGCCTGAATAGACCATTTACAGTTGCGAACTTAGTATCCTAGCCTTTGAGTGAACGTGAGGCTGAGGTTGACCTTGTTTTGATGCAGACCTCAGTACTTTTCTTTTGAAAATTACCGTAAAAATCCGAAAATAGGCCCCGGGGCTAATATTTTTCAAAGGCCCTTTTTGACGGGCTTATTTTTGGAGGGGCTTAATTATCTACGGAGGGAAATTTGCGTCTCAAAATCGATTGGGCTGGCTAGCCTTATAGTTGGAAGGAAATTTACTGTTTTTGCTTTGTTTTACTTTGTATTTGAGGGCAATTTCCAAGAACCAGCCCCCGCGGGGGGCTTATATTTGGAGGGGCGATTTAACGGAGGGTTTTTTGCGTTACGAGTTTGAGGAGCTTATACGTGGAGGGGCATATTTTCGGAATTTTACGGTATGCTTCAGTATGCTTAAAAATATACTAGTTTGCATTAGAACAACATGATTTTCATAAGAAAGCAGGAAGGGTTGTATCAAAGCAATTTTAACTCCAGCCTCGTTTCCGCCTGTAACAGTAAATTGGATTATTATATGACCAGGTGCTCACGGATGTGCGGCGATTTCCTTTTAAGGTGAATTCTTATCTGTTCACGCCCAATGAAAACCAATAAAACATCGCGTCTACCTTTAATTTGCAATACAGATCTTAGGGCTTGTTTACATGGAGATGTGGGACCCCAGATAGGCGAGGTAACATGCGTCGGGTCACCCCACCTATCATGTAAATATGATCAAATTACTATGAGAGATTATATGAACAGGCGGGTTACCCCACCTAAGCGGGTTACCTCACCTACCTGGGGTCCCCCACCTATATGTAAACAGGCCCTTATTTTGAAGATTGTATTTTATTATATAAACACCAATGAAATACCAGGTGAGCTTTCGCGCGAAAACTTGGTATCTTCACACGTGAAAATATCACCGTTGCTATGGCTACATAATAAATCGCGCCTTTCACACCAAAAAACTATTAAAGTGAAATGGTTTGGTAGTTCATTGGTGTTTATATAATAAATAGAAAATTACATGGCCGCTTGGAGATATGAAATTTCTCTTTGAGTGCTGAAAAATATTTGACAAGTGAGCGCAGCGAACGAGTGAAATATCATTCAACACTCGAAGAGAAATTTCGTATCTCCGCGCCGCCATGGAAGATAGAGGATTACGACCGAATGCCTACGGTTCCAACCCAAAGCTCCTTTATAGCTCAACTGGCAAAAACTCTTGGGGCGAGAAAGGTGCTTGAAATAGGTAAGAGTCGCAGTAGTCAAGAATGGTCAACCCTAATTTATATCTAGCTGATTTTTTGAAAACAAACCTAGCGAAATTTGCAGCTATTCGAGTGAAAAAGGACCAAAAGACGCCCGATAAGCTGGAAAATAATCACACTAGTGAAGCTGAAAGGAAAGGAGAAATTCAAAAGAAGGCCAAGCTAGCAGGAAGAAAGGAGGAGAAGAGAAAAACTAGGAAATGTTAGCACTAATCTGCACCCTCAGTTTTACTTTGGCTACTTTGGAGATAGTTTTTAGGCCGAAAAATAAATGTTTGACAGAAGAGGTCTATTTGGCGGCAACGTTTTCAAAAATCTAGCCAGATATACCAAAGGTAATTCAAATCAGAAGTGTGCCCAACGGGGAAAAGGTAGTGGATAAACCTAATTTCATTTCATGATTATTCGCGGGATTTAGAGAGACAAAAATTTTATCTCAGAACTTGGAAGAGAGAAAAGGCCGTGCAAAAAAAGAATAATAATAATGTGCAGGGCCACCTTAAGTGGCGCTTAAAACAGAAAAAAGTTGAATGAGAGACACTTAAGAGAAACCAAGACAGCGCCCGTGCGCATGCGTTCTAGTTGTTGACCTTCACATACGGGTACGTACCCTAAAACATCTCTGATGATGTTTCTGAGATATCATTCTTCACCCTTTTTAGCCAACTTCATTGTAAATCACATGAATCATGTCTCACCTCCTACCATTTCTTTATGGCCTTATTATTTGATGACCTCTTCTTCTTTGTATTAATCTAAGTAATGAAAGTTACTACTCTATCTTAAACTTACCCGTCGACAGGAGGATTTGCTAACCGCAAGCGCGCTCTGCGCTCGCCCTCACGCGTTGTACAATTGTCGAAAATATGAAAGAAAACAAAAACGTGAGTGCATGCGCTTTTGGTTTAATTTCATTCGCCCTTTCGATGGCTCTTAAGATAAAATAGAAGGTCTACTCTCCAACAAACGAAAAATGTTCTCTTACTTTCAGTAATTAAACAAAGTGATTAAAGTGAAACAGATCGATATCTTGTTTTGACTCTTTCTTAGTATTAAGGAATTTAATCTTTAATATATATATCTATGTCATCATTAAGTTTGTGAGTATTTTAGAAAGATATACTTTGTATGAACATATCCTTTTCCCTAGGAACATTGGCTGGCTCAACGGCTCTTAGCATTGCCCTTGTTTTACCGCAAGACGGACAGATGGTGACAATAGACATAGGCGTACGGGCATTTTTTTGTCAGGGGGGGCGGTAAACCATTTGCCCAAAAAATTCTTGCAAGTTGCCCAAAATGCAAATTTTTACAAAACAGTCGAACAGAAACGAGGGCCATAAGATGCAACAACATAGGCCGTACTAGCATATGAAAGTGGCTCGATACAGTTTTTCAGGGTCAATACCTGTGAAGTTTTTTTTGAGCATAGACTACGACACCATAAACAAACATTTGGAAAAATTGCCACCACAGTTGTATTAGATAAAGATGAAAATTTGTTATGATCCGGGTTGAAATAACATCGGAGTTGTCATAGCAACCAAATGATGCCATTACCTATTATACTTGCAGCAACATTTCTCACTGGGAACTGTTCTTCCAAAATTGTTCACGGAAGCATTTTCCTCCAATAGTCGCCTCGATGTTCGTGAAATTAAAACGGAATCTGTAAGAGCGGTAAAAAAGGAAAATCTTGCTGTTTGGCCGTTATCTGTAGAAAACGAAGCGCTTTTGACATGCAATTTCACCTCATAGTAGTTTCAATCTTTTTAAAAACGTGGGTTAAAGATCATGGAGATAGCTCTGGTCAAAAAAGGATTTGAGTGTTTAGTATGTATCATGGCGCTCTTGTTAGCGGTTTTGTAATCATTTCGGTCTATACTACTTTAACAAATTAGTGAATAATCTTTAAACCACTCGATAGATTTTTTTGTTTAAAAAATACGATTCTTCGCGTAATTCAAACTGAGAATTAGTCAGCCACTTCTTTACTTTCAGACCCATTGCTGATGTTATCTGCCATACACTGTTCTACGAGTGGAGATGATTCTAGAAAGTTAGGCGGAAGTTTATTCTAATCAATTCACGACTGGAAATTGCCCATTGCAGTACAGTGCCCAACAATAAAAAAAAAAACAGCACATGATACCCTTCCCTTATAACCAGAAACTCATTACGTGCTAGGCAACCACTGTCTCCTGTAAATTTAACAGAACTGGATTATTACGCCAACTTCAGGTTAAAATAGAAAATATTTATCTCTTCAAAATAATGATTTAAAAAACACGGAAACGTCTTAAAAAAACTGGCTTTGCCCAAATTTTCTCTCGCTGCCCAAAAAATCTGAGTTGCCCAAAATTTGGGGGGGCTGCAGCCCCCCTCGCCCCCCCGGCCCGTACGCCTATGCTTAAAAAAAATGTTGAACCTAAAGAATCTATATTCAGGTCACTTTAGCGTCTTTCATTCTTTTGTGAATTTACTATTTTTCCGAATTCAGGCCTTTGTCTAAGTGAGGAAAACTCACGGGAAAGGCCGATCCAGTAGAAAGACGGGTCCAAGATGACCACTTACTATTTAGTCACGCGTATAAAGTTGTCCTGACGTGTAAACTTTTACCTTAGACATCTTTTGATTCGCTGTTACCTTCCAAGTTTGTCTGTTAAGCCCGAATGGTTGATTACAGCGAAGGCGGTAACCCATCCCGTTCTAAGAACTCTAGTAATTTAGAAAGCTCGATCTAAAAAGAGTTCCAATAAACAGTGTCTCAAAAAAAGGTGTCAAGTTTGATAAGTACTAGAACAACGGCCATCTTAGGAGACAACTAAACGCCGCCTGCGAAGCCTTTATTATTCAAGTATCGTCTGACTATAGTTTGTTTGATTAAGAATCACTGAACAAAACATATAGCAGAACATTAATACTCTCTGTATCTCGAACTGGCAGAGCTATGCCTTTATGTACATAACGAGGAGGTTCTTTCAATGTACTTATCTCCCGATCTAATGATAAAATCAGAAGAACCTATGGTTTTCTCAAAACTGCAAGGATCGTCCCAGAATAATAATGCACAATTAAGAACAGGAACAAGCAGAAAAATCGTTATCATTTGAATATTATATTCAGCATTGTCAAATCCTATTGTTTGCGTTGCTGCGAAGTTCTCAGACCTCAGCTTTTCTTCGAGTTCACGTTGGGAATTGAAAAGAAAAGAGTATCTGAATCAGTGAATGTCGTCATCCTGTGGAGTTTGCTTCCAACAAGTCGTTAGAACGCGTTTGAAGCCCTCTCTAAAGTGGGCACTTCGAAAAGCGTAAACAAGTGGATTTAAACATAGACTGCAGCTAAACATAAAATAAAACGCATTCTGGAGATGAGAGCACAGGTTGATATCTATATTCGCGTTGGTCTGAAATACAACAACAATGTTGAAAGCCACACCAGGTACATAACCGATCAAAAACCCGAGAGTCGCTAGAAGGAATGTGATAACAAGTTTCTTCTTCTCCGAGCTTCTCTCGCCATCACTGGTTTCAATTTCTTGGCAAACTGTGTTGGTGAAGTAGAGACCTCTGATCAAGGAACCATAGCAAAAAACCATGACTACCGATTGTATCAAAAAAAGGGCGTCAAATACAATCAAGTAAATCTTCCACGCTAGATTGATATTTGAATCCCCTCGACCAACACACACGTGATTGCTTCGATCGCATTCTTGAAAGAAGGCATTCGGGATGGATACAAAAACACTTGTCACCCAAATTAGAGCGATGGCCTTTTTAATATTGTCTTCACTTAATCGCAATCCGGTTCTTAAAGGCTTGAGCAAAGCGTTGTATGTTTCTACCGCTAGCACAGTAAGAGTAGTGGAGAAACTATTGCGAAGATTGTAATGAAGGTTGTAATGACGGCCGATGCCTTGCAAACCAAGCGCCCGAAATTTTCATCAAGTACATGTTGAATGAAGGCAAACTTGAGAGCTGCAAACATCATTATCGTGAAGACATCACTAATGGCCATGCTGGCTAAAAGATAATTTGTAGGGGTGTGCATCTCCCTTGTTTTGTGTACGATTCGAATGACCAACACATTTCCGATAAGTCCAATGATGTAAAATGGTATGGAACAGCAAGACAAGATAAAACTTAGGCTATCGGTTTCGACCATGATTAGTGCTTCAGGTTTTTCTGTTTTTCTTTTTTTTTTTTTTCAAATAGAGATTCGAAATTTGTTTAAAGAAGTTGTTCACAAGGGTTATCGGTCTTGTTAGTTATGCATATGAGTTACTAGACAAGCGAAAAATTGAAGTAGTTTACATTATCATTAAGATAATGTGAAATCGACCCATTAATACCATTGGACCATGCTTTTACAAAATTGGCCACCATGAAATTGCATGGACGTCTCACATAGTAAAAAGACTGCAAAATTTTGTAATTAAAAGCGCGTTATGAAGTCAGTTATAAATAGCCATACACCTGTTTTGGTCCTCCCCATGCCGTAAAATTCGGAAAATAAGCCCCTCCAAATATAAGCCCCTCAAACCCGTAACGCAAAAAACGTTTCGTTAAATGACCCCTCCGAATATAAGCCCCCGGGGGCTTGTGCTTGAAAACAGTGTCCTCAAATACAAAGTAAAACAAAGAAAAACGGTAAAATTCCTTCCAACCATAAGCTAGCCTAATCAATTTTGAAACGCAAACTTCCCTCCGTAGATAAGCCCCTCCCAATATAAGCCGCCTCCAAAAATAAGCCCCTCAATAAGGGCCTTTGTCGGGAAAATATAAGCCCCGGGGCTTATTTTCCTAATTTTACGGTATCTTAATTCCCTTCCCTTTTTTCAGCATAACAACTTTTCTGCATACTAACAAATAATTTTCTCCATACTGCAAATATTATCTTCCTGCCCAGTTACCAGCGTCATTCTTTTAATACTAATGGACGTCTTAGTTATTATTAACTTATGAATGAAAATCGCTCCATGAATAATGCGTCTATAATTATACACCAGACTGTTTTCGGTCAGGTCGTTTCTTCCTTAAGCTTTTCAACTAATTAACCATGCATATAACACAACCCACAGTCCTGCTTTGATCTTTTAAAAAAAGTTTTCTCAACTTATTTTTCAAGGAAATGTATGGAGATCGGTCCGAGAAATTTACATGTGGATGCTTGTTAAGCGGACAGTGTATTATCCTTCAGTGAGGGTCCCCTGGGGTGTTTTGGGGGAAATCAAACTCGAAAGGCGAAATCATAGTTTGGGAAATGACACTTCTTGTTTGATCCACAGACATTGTGGGAAGGCTTGGTTTGTGATCCGAAGATAAACAAAGACGGCCGGGCGTGGGAAGTAGGTCCACTTGACTACCACAACTACTATTATGACTCCTCGTATAAATACGGTCATCCCATGTCAGTAATGGAAAAAGTGGCTGTTCACATTCATGGCCAATCCGAAAAAGTCGCCAATGATCCCCGAGTTACTGCAACCATTCTACCAAGTGGCTCGGGCCTTACAATAGCCACAAAATTGTGACATTGAAGGGAGAATGTTCCTAAGCCTTTACAAAGGAATGTCCACAATACTACCTGCACTATTTCTGCCTAAAAGCAAACTGTTACTTCTTCTTTTTCATTGAATTATCATTGTTATTGAACTCCCGTTTGCTATCTCACTGTCGACCAGTACAAAAGTGTCTTTCTTGTTGTTACGGCTTTGACAGGTAACAATTAATGGTCAATGCGAAAAACAAAGAATTTATTCCTCCCTAACACAGAGAATGTATGAACTGCATGAACTGGCTTGTTTTATGTACCTTTCCCATATTGAAAGTAGGATAAAAAAAAAGTCAGTGGAAGGTAAATAATCTCATGGTACGTTTTTTGTTTTTGCTTCTCTAATTTATTACAGGTTATTGAGGTGAAAAAATTATTATAACAACCACTATTTAGAATAAAATCACAAAGATATGAACTACTCGAAGAGAAATAGTTTAAAGGTGTTCCTTTCTTCTTCTCTCTCACCCCATCTCAATATCATTGTTCGGAGTCGGTTTCTTGCATATCAGTAGGCGTTTAAATTCTTGTTGGTAGCTTGAACTACGAAAAGCGTACAAAATTGGGTTAAGTCAAAGTTAAGTCAAACAGAAATGTTGATACCGCTGCAAGAACAGAGAATAGTTCTGAGTCATAATTTTGTTCATTATCTCCCGATGCAACAAGAACGTGGAGAACTATAGCAAGCCCATTACCGATCAAAAACGCTAAACTCGCTAGGAGAAATGTCAAAACCAGTTTCTTTTTCTCCGAGTTTCCTTCTTCATCATTTTCTGGGCAAACTGTAGCAGTAAAGTAAAGTCCCCTGATCAATGATCCATGGCAGAAAAACATGATTGCCGATTGCATGATGAAAATTGTAAAATACAGAAGTGTATAAATTTTGCTTCCTTCAGTCCCTATATTGAATGGTTCAACACATGAAGTGTCTTTCTCGTTCCATTCTGCAAAGAAGAACTGTGGAAAGCAAATTACGACGCTCGTGGTCCAAATGAAAACGATGGCCTTCTTGACGTTATCGTCGCTTAACCGCAGTTCGGTTCTGAAGGGTTTTAGCAAGGCGTGATATCTTTCTAAAGCGAGAACTGTCAGTGTAACAGAAGCCCATAATACAAATTTTAACGATGTTAAGTGCCTTGCAAGCGAATGTAGCGAATTTATGACTCACAAGTCCAAGTTGATTCTCAGTAAATTTGTGACATGAAAGCAACAGAATAGTAATGACATCGCTAACGGCCATTTTAGCTAAAAGGTAATTCGTTGGCGTATGCATCTGTCGCGTCTTGTGAACGATTCGGATAACCAATACATTTCCTATAAAACCAATGGCAAAAAATAAAATGGGAAAGTAAGAAAGGAACAGATCTAGGCTATCTTCCATGCTGGAGACCGTTGTTTCTCTAGTTTTAAGTCAATAGAAATTCGAATTTAAGATGTTTCCTTTTAGAATAACTTGAACTGTTCGGTAGAACATTCGATGTGACACTAAGTAGTTAATTCATTTAATTCAAAGCTGTGAAATAAAGACAGGCCACTTTTGACAAGGTATACCACTTGTATAATAATTATATGTCAGTCATATTTTAATTATCAAGTGATTGATAAGCCGAAGGGTTATCGGCCTTCAGCTCGTGGTTATGTGCACATAACCCCTCGCTTCAGGCCGATAACCCTCACATAATCGCCTTGCATTTTAATTAGCTGTTCATTAGCCCTGCTCTTCCCTTCAAACAATCAAAGCCGCACCCAGCTTTTCAGACAGTTGATTCGGGGGTTAAGTAATATATTCCCCCCGAAAAGAACAAAGGAATCCGAGCTTATGTAAAAATAAGGCCCATTTGCATCACATTTTTCATGAAGGGGCCATATAATAATCACACGTAGCTTTATGAATTTAACTCTAACAGGTGAAAAGGGCTCAACAACGTTACTTACCAACAAGCACGTTCGGTTTATCTATAGCTTCTTTTGCTAGGAGCAATTTTTGAAGCAGTTATCTCTTGCTTCCTTTTATTTTTTTTTTCCACCTTTTCTTTACCGTTCTTCAAGTAATACGAAAAAAATTCGCTTTGGTTAACCGGTTTCTTTATTGGCCTTAAAACACCTGCTTAAATTGTTTATCTTCCGTTTTAGTTTACAATTTACGCGCCTAAGAAAAAGGAAAAGAAAAAGCAATATTCTTAGAGTGAATTTAGTAGTGTAAAATAGACTCAGTCAAAATTAGTAACGAATTATATATCCTTCAATATATGGCACTGATGTTGAAAAATGAACATAAAAAAGGAATTAGTTTGTGATCAGAATATACAGCAAAATCATCATTATCAGCTTCGCGTGGTTATGTCATTTTAAAACTGATGCCTTATTAAACACAAGAGCCATTATGGCTGATTAAGGTTAAACATCAAAACTCGCGAGCGGTTTTGACGAGTGTTGGACTAATCTTTACTTTGAACAGTTATGTTGCTATGGCTCAATTTCCCTCTATACTCTCCATCAAATTTGTCGCGCCAATTTTTTGTCTAAACGATTGTTGTTTTAGATGTGATGTTTCCATGGCAATTGTAAATCATGATCAAATTTCTTAAAAGTAATCAGTGTCTATACTTTTCTCACAAATTCAGATCACTTTAGCGTCTTTTATAAATTTATTTTTCCGAATTCAGGCTGTTGTCTCAGTGAGGAGAACCCAGGAAGACCGATCCTAAAATGACGGGTCCAAGATGACCAATTACTATTTAAGCATGTGTATAATTTTGTCCTGACGTGTAAACTTTTATCTTACGCATCTTTTTGATTCGCTGTTACCTTCCAAGTTTGTCTGTTAAGCCTGAATGGTTGATTACAGCGAAGGCCGTTACCCATCCACTTCTAAGAACTCTAGCTATTTAGAAAGCTCGGTCTAAAAAGAGTTCAAATAAACAGTGTCTCAAAAAAAGGTTGTTAAGTTTGTTAAGTACTAGAACAACGGCCATCTTAGGAGACAACTAAAGGTTTGCCTGCGAAGCCTTTGTTATTCAAGTATCGTCTGGCTATTTTTGTTTGATTAAGAATCACTGAACAAAACATATAGCAGAACATTAATACTCTCTGTATCTCGAACTGGCGGAGCTATGCCTTTATGTACATAAAAGAGGAGGTTCTTTCAATGTACTTATCTCTCGATCTAATAATGAAATCAGAAGAACCTATGGTTTTCTCCAAACTGCAAGGAACGTCCCAGAATAATAATGCACAATTAAGAACAGGAACAAGCAGAAAAATCGGTATCATTTGAATATTGTATTCAGCATTGTCAAATGGTATTGTTTGTGTTGCTGCGAAGTTCTCAGACCTCAGCTTTTCTTCGACTTCACATTGGGACTTGAAAAGAAAAAAGTATCTGAATCAGTGAACGTCGTCATCCTGTGGTGTTGGCTTCCAACAAGTTGTTAGAACGCGTTTAAAGCCCTCTCTAAAGTGGGCACTTCGAAAAGCGTAAACAAGTGGATTTAAACATAGACTGCAGCTAAACATAAGACGAAACGCATTCTGGAGATGAGAGTACAGGTTGATATCTATATTCGCGTTGGTCTGAAATGCAACAACAATGTGGAAAGCCACACAAGGTACATAACCGATCAAAAACCCGAGAGTCGCTAGAGGGAATGTGATAACAACTTTTTTCTTCTCCGAGCTTCTCTCGCCATCAGTGGTTTCATTTTCTGGGCAAACTGTGTTGGTGAAGTAGAGACCTCTGATCAAGGAACCATAGCAAAAAACCATGACTACCGATTGTATCAAAAAAATAGCGTTAAATACAATCAAGTAAATCTTCCACACTAGATTGATAATTGAATCCCGTTGGCTAACACATCCTGAACGAACGCGATTGATTCGATCGAATTCTTGAGAGAAGGCATTCGGGATGGATACAAAAACACTTATCACCCAAATGAGAGCGATGGCCTTTTTTATATTGTCTTCACTTAATTGCAATCCCGTTCTTAAAGGCTTCAGCAAAGCGTTGTATCTTTCAACTGCTAGCACAGTAAGAGTAGTGGAAGAAACTATTGCGAAAATTGTAATGAAGGTTGTAATGACGAGCGATGCCTTGCAAACCAAGTGCGCGAATTTTTCACCAAGTATATGTTGACTGAAGGCAAACCTGTGAGCTGCAATCATTATTATGGTGAAGACATCACTAACGGCCATGCTAGCTAAAAGATAATTTGTAGGGGTGTGCATCTCCATTGTTTTGTGTACGATTCGAATGACCAACACATTTCCGATGAGTCCACTGATGTAAAATGGTATGGAACAGCAAGACAAGACAAAACTTAGGCTATCGGTTTCGACCATGATTAGTGCTTCAGGTTTTTCTGTTTTTTCATAAGGGTTATCGGTCTGGTTAGTTATTTTTCATTGTATGCATATGACTTAGTAGACAAGCGACAAATTGAGGTAGTTTACATTATTACTAAGATAATGTGAAATAGATCCATTAATACCATTCGACCATGCAGTTAAATAATTGGCCACCATGCAATTGCATGGACGTCTCACGTAATAAAAAGACTACTGACAATTTATAATTAAAAGCGCGTTATGAAGTCAGTTATAAATAGCCATACACCTGTCTTTGGTCCTCCCCATACCGTAGAATTCCGAAAATAAGCCCCTCCAAATATAAGCCCCTCAAAAACGTAACGCAAAAAACGTTTCGTTAAATGACCCCTCCCAATATAAGCCCCCGGGGACTTGTACTTGAAAACAGTGTCCTCAAATACAAAGTAAAACAAAGAAAAAACGGTAAAATTCCTTCCAACTATAAGCTAGCCTAATCGATTTTGAACCGCAAATTTTCCTCGGTAAATAAGCCCCTCCCAATGCAAGCCCCTCCAAAAATAAGCCCCTCAAAAGGGGCCTTTGGAAAATAGAAGCCCCTGGGCTTATTTTCCGTATTTTACGGTATCTTAATTCCCTTCCCTTTTTTCGGCATAACAACTTTTCTGCATACTAACAAATAATTTTCTCCATACTGCAAAAACTGCCTTCTTGCCCAGTTACCAGCGTCATTCTTTTAATACTAACAGACGCCTTAGTTATTATTAACTTCTATAATTATACACCGGACTGTTTTCGGTCAGGTCGTTTCTTCCTTAAGCTTTTCATATAACCCAACCCACAGTCCTGCTTTGATCGTTTTAAAAAAAGTTTTCTCAACTTATTTTTCAAGTAAATGTATGGAGATCAGTCCGAAAAATTTGCATGTGGATACTTGTTAAGCGGACAGTGTATTATCCTTCAGTGAGGGTCCCGTGGGGTGTTTTGTAAACTGAGATCAGGTGTCATTTTTTCCCTTTTTTTTGCTTCTGTGGCTCGAGACATAAAGGGATAATAGGGAGAGGGCATGATCTCAGGCTAGGTGTTTTGCGGGAAATCAAACTCGAAAGACGAAATCATAGTTTGGGAAATGACACTTCTTGTTTGATCCACAGACATTGTGGGAAGGCTTGGTTTGTGACCCGTTGATAAACAGAGACGGCCGGGCGTGGGAAGTAGGTCCACTTGACTACCACAACTACTGTAATTATGACTCCTCGTATAAATACGGTCATCCCATGTCAGTAATGGAAAAAGTGGCTGTTCACATCCATGGCTTGAATAAAAAAGTCGCCAATGATCCCCGAGTCACTGCAACCACGAAACTGTGACATTGAAGGGAGGATGTTCCTACGCCTTTACAAAGAAGTGCCCATAATCCTACCAGCACTATTTCTGCCTAAAAGCATGCTGTTACTTCTTCTTTTTCATTGAATTTTCATTGTTATTGAACTCCCGTTTGTTATCTCACTGTCGACCAGTACAAAAGTGTATTTCTTTTTGTTATGGCTTTGACAGATAACAATGACCAATGTGAAAAACAAAGCCCAAACTGGAATTTATTCCTCCCTAACACAGAGAGTTATCAGTAGTAAAAATGCATAAACTGCCTTACTTGTACCTTTCCCATATTGGAAGCAGGACAAAAAAAAAGTCAGTGGAAGGTAAATAATCTCATGGTATGTTTTTCGTTTTTGCTTCTGTAATTTACTTTTACATTCTGTATAACACCAACGATGACAATGATGATGATGGGGTATGCAGTCGATTTACTATATATTGTTATATAATACTAGTGATATAGTTTTTTATTATGAGCAAAATTTATTACAGATTATTGCAGTGAAAAATTTATTATAACTACCACTACTTAGAATAAAATCACAGAGATATGAACTACGCAAAGAGAAATAGTTTAAAGGTGTTCCTCTCTCTTACCACATCTCAATATCATTGTTCGGTGTCGGTTTCTTGCATATCAGTAGGCGTTTAAACTCTTGTTGGTAGCTTGAACTACGAAAAGCGTACAAAATTGGGTTAAGACATAAAGTTAAGTCAAACAAAAATGGTAATACGGCTCCAATAACAGAGTATAGTTCTGAGTCATAAATTTGTTTGTTATCTCCCAAAGCAACAAGTATGACGAAAACTACATATGACTCATAACCGATCAAAAACCCTAAAGTCGCTAGGAGAAATGTCCCAACCAGCTTCTTTTTCTCCGAGTTTCCTTCGTCATCATTTTCTGAGCAAATTGTAGCAGTAAAGTAAAGTCCCCTTATCAATGATCCATAGCAGAAAAACATGATTGCCGATTGTATAATGTAAATTGAAGAATTTATAAGTATATAAATTTTGCTTGCTAGATTCATGCGTAAAGTCCACGGACCAACACATGTGTTATGTTCCTCGCTCCACTCTTTAAGGACGAATTGTGGGAAGGAAATTAGAACACTTGCGGTCCAAATGAAAACAATGGCCTTCTTGATGTTATTGTTGCTTAACCGGAGTTTCGAGGAGTTCATTTCTGAAAGGTTTTAGCAAGGCGTGATATCTTTCTAGAGCGAGAACTGTGAGTGTAATAGAAGAAACCATAATACAAATTCCGACGATGCTAAATGCCTTGCAAGCGAATGTCGCAAATTTATGACTCACACGTCCAAGTTGATCCTCAGTAAATTTCTTACAAGGAATCAACAGAATGGTAATGACATCGCTAACGGCCATGTTAGCTAAAAGGTAATTCGTTGGCGTATGCATCTGTCGTGTCTTATGAACGATTCGGATAACCAATACATTTCCTATAAAACCAATGGCAAAAAATAGAAAGGAAAAGTAAGAAAGGAACCGATATAGGCTACCTTCCATGCTGGAGACCGTTGTTAGGGCTCGTTTAAGTCAATAGAAATTCGAATTTAAGATGTCTCCTTTTAAAATAAAAAGTTCGATAGAACATTCGATATCACACTAAGTAGTTAATTCAAAGCTGTGAAATAAAGGCAAGCCATTTTTGACAAGGTATACCACCTAATTATATGTCAGTCATATTCTAATCATCAAGTGACTGATAAGGCCCATTTGCATCTCATTTTTTATGAAGGGGCCTTGTAATAATCATACGTAGCTTTATGATTAACTTAACGGGTGAAAAGGGCTCCACAACGTTACTTACCAACAAGCACGCTCGGTTTGTCTATAGCTTCTTTTGCTAGGAGCAATTTTTGAAGCAGTTATCTCTTGCTTTCTTTAAATGTTTTCTACCTTTTCTTCACCGTTCTTCAAGTAATGCGAAAAAAAATTCGCTTTGATTAACCGGTTATATTTTTATTGGCTTTAAAACACCTGCTTAAATTGTTTATCTTCCGTTTTATTTTACAATTTACTTGCCTAAGAAAAAGGAAAAGAAAAAGCAATATTCTGAGAGTGAATTTAATAGTGTAAAATAGACAAAGTTAAAATTAGTAACGAATTGTATATCGTTCAATATATGGCACTGATGCTGGAAATTGAACCTAAAAAAGGAATTAGTTTGTGATCAGAATATACAGCAAGATCATTATCAGCTTCGCGTGGTTATGTCATTTTAAAGCTGATGCCTTATTTAACACAAGAGCCATTATAGCTAAGGTTAAACATCAAAACTCGCGGGTGGTTTTGACGAGTATTGGACTAATCTTTACTTTGAACAGTTATTTTACTATGGCTCAATTCCCTCTAAACTCTCCATGAAATTTGTCGCGCCAAATTTTTGTGTAAACGATTGTTGTTTTGGATGTGATGTTTCCATGGCCATTTCAAATCATGATCAAAGTTGTCCTGACGTGTAAACATTCAACTTAGACATCTTCTTGATTCGCTGTTACCTTGCAAGTTTGTTTGTTAAGCCTAAATGGTTGATTACAGCGAAAGCTGTAACCCATCTGATCTCCTTCTAACAACTCTCATAATTGAAAATGCTCGGTCTAAAAAGAGTTCAAATAAACAGTGTCTCTAAAAAAAGTTGTTAAGTTTGTTAACTAGAACAGCGGCCATCTTACGACACAACTAAACGCCGCTTACAAAGCCTTTGTTATTCAAGTATCGTCTGACTATTTTTGTTTGATTAAGAATCACTGAACAAAACATATAGCAGAACATTAATACTGTATCTCGAACTGGCGGAGCTATGCCTTTATGTAATGACTGTAATCTCCAAACTGCAAGGATCGTCCCAGAATAATAATGCACAATTAAGAACAGGAACAAGCAGAAAAATCGGTATCATTTGAATATTGTATTCAGCATTGTCAAATGGTATTGTTTGTGTTGCTGCGAAGTTCTCAGACCTCAGCTTTTCTTCGAGTTCACCTTGGGACTTGAAAAGAAAAGAGTATCTGAATCAGTGAATGTCGTCATGCTGTGGTGTTGGCTTCCAACAAGTTGTTAGAACGCGTTTGAAGCCCTCTCTAAAGTGGGTACTTCGAAAAGCGTAAACAAGTGGATTTAAACATAGACTCCAGCTAAACATAAAATGAAACGCATTCTGGAGATGAGAGTACAGGTTGATATCTATATTCGAGTTGGTCTGAAATGCAAAACAATTTGGAAAGCCACACAAGGTATATAACCGATCAAAAACCCGAGAGTCGCTAGAAGGAATGTGATAACAAGTTTTTTCTTCTCCGAGCTTCTCTCGCCATCAGTGGTTTCATTTTCTGGGCAAACTGTGTTGGTAAAGTAGAGACCTCTGATCAAGGAACCATAGCAAAATACCATGACTACCGATTGTATCAAAAAAATAGCGTAAAATACAATCAAGTAAATCTTCCACACTAGATTGATAATTGAGTCCCGTTGGCTAACACATCCTGAACGAACGCGATTGATTCGATCGAATTCTTGAGAGAAGGCATTCGGGATGGATACAAAAACACTTATCACCCAAATGAGAGCGATGGCCTTTTTTATATTGTCTTCACTTAATTGCAATCCCGTTCTTAAAGGCTTCAGCAAAGCGTTGTATCTTTCAACTGCTAGCACAGTAAGAGTAGTGGAAGAAACTATTGCGAAGATTGTAATGAAGGTTGTAATGACGGGCGATGCCTTGCAAACCAAGTGCGCGAATTTTTCGTCAAGTATGTGTTGACTGAAGGCAAACCTGTGAGCTGCAATCATTATTATGGTGAAGACATCACTAATGGCCATGCTAGCTAAAAGATAATTTGTAGGGGTGTGCATCTCCCTTGTTTTGTGTACGATTCGAATGACCAACACATTTCCGATGAGTCCAATGATGTAAAATGGTATGGAACAGCAAGACAAGACAAAACTTAGGCTATCGGTTTCGACCATGATTAAATGCTTCAGGTTTTTCTGTTTTTTCGTAAGGGTTATCGGTCTGGTTAGTTAATTTTCATTGTATGCATATGACTTAGTAAACAAGCGACAAATTGAGGTAGTTTACATTATTACTAAGATAATGTGAAATAGATCCATTAGTACCATTGGACCATGCAGTTAAATAATTGGCCACCATGCAATTGCATGGACGTCTCACATAATAAAAAGACTACTGACAATTTATAATTAAAAGCGCGTTATGAAGTCAGTTATAAATAGCCATACACCTGTCTTTTGTCCTCCCCATACCGTAAAATTTTATAAGCCCCTCCAAATATAAGCCCCTTAAAAACGTAACGCAAAAAACGTTTCGTTAAATGACCCCTCCCAGTATAAGCCCCTGGGGACTTGTACTTGAAAACAGTGTCCTCAAATACAAAGTAAAACAAAGAAAAAACGGTAAAATTCCTTCCAACTATAAGCTAGCCTAATCGATTTTGAACCGCAAATTTCCCTCCGTAAATAAGCCCCTCCCAATGCAAGCCCCTCCAAAAATAAGCCCCTCAAAAGGGGCCTTTGGAAAATAGAAGCCCCTGGGCTTATTTTCCGTATTTTACGGTATCTTAATTCCCTTACCTTTTTTCCGCATAACAACTTTTCTGCATACTAACAAATAATTTTCTCCATACTGCAAAAATTGCCTTCTTGCCCAGTTACCAGCGTCATTCTTTTAATACTAACAGACGCCTTAGTTATTATTAACTTCTAATATATAGATTTAGCCAGGGCTAAAAGCGAAGCTCCAATTAATAAATTTATAATTTAAATCAAAAAATAAACTTTTAATCCACAATTCATTTAACTTAAGGGCACATTCATGTGACTTTTGAGGGAAAGGCTAAGTTATTTTAGAGTGAAACATCTTACATCGAATTGATAACCTTATATGTACACCCAAAAAATAGCAAACATCTTTGATCACATTCAAGATCACAGTAGATTAGGCCTCGAAAACAAATTCTTGGAAAACAAATCACGCCGAATTTTTTTGCGTTCGACAGGTTCACTCTACAAATTCTTGCCAACAAATCTGGGGGTGTTTAAACCAACCTTTTATAATTTTTATACATCACATTTGAGGTGAAACAGTACTATTTATCATACAGACCTCGGACGGAATGCAGTATTTCACAATTTTTCAAGACAAATTGCACTCAGTCAATATTCAGGACGATCAATTGTAAAGCGAAACCGTTCAAAAATTTCCAAAATCACCCATATGGCCAGCCGGTTCTCGTTTCTATAGTGCGAGCTGTCAGTGTGGTCGAGTGTTTGAATGAACTTTAATAGAGTTAAGCTTCAACATAATAGCGAATTTATTTTTTTTTTTTTTTGTTATTTAATTGTTTCAGTTATAACGATGTGTAATCTTATAAAGCGTTTGATACGCGCGACATTTGTGAGTACTCTTGCGAGCGATGTTCATGAACGATGAAAACAAACCGAAACGGCACGGACAAGCGATTAAAATTGCAAGAGAGACTACGAACAATCAAAAAAAGAAATATAATTCGGTGAAACATTTACACAGATAACAATTTTCATTCATGAAGACAAGTATTAAAGTGTCTCTAAAAATCCTGAGTCTCGGCGTGAAGCTTTATAAGCCGGCTTCCCGGCGCGTGTGTTTACTGTTTTCCAAGGTGAACTCCTCGAAGCAAGAAAATCGCTCAAAGTTTTCTTTCTACAGACAAATCTATAACTAAATATTCTTCGGAACGTTTTCTTTCTATCTGCGGTGAGCAAATATATCTGAAGGCTTTTTAAAGTTCTGAAAGCTTATATCAAACCGTTCAAACCTGATACTAGGTCAGATCTTGACTCAAACTACGGCTACAAACGTGCATAAACTTGCCGCATAAACTGTCAGCGTGAATGTGCAAGACTTCATGAAATTAGATATAACAAAAACAAACATCAAATACAATAGTTACTCAGGCTTACCATTCGAGATTGAGTTCCTGAAAGCTATCAAGGAAGGCCACAGTTGCTTGAGACTTTTAACCCCTCAAACGCATTAAGCAATGTGAAAAACGAAAACGATGCCATCCGAAATCGAATTACCAAATTTTGACAAGCGACGTGTTCCTCAACAAAAAACCCAGTAAACAAACCAGCCATGAATAACAGAAGACTCTTGATAGCAGCTGTATTTCATTTTGTACATCCAGAAGAAAAAGACAGTTAAAAACATGACACGTTGACACAAAACTCTTCCTGCCTCGTACCCAGACGTCTCTCTTTTGATGAAAATATGCGCGCAAAGGAAGGCGGGAAGGAGACGTCTCTACCCTTCCCATGGTCCCTTGCGGTTCTCACCAGTCACTCGTTTCGCGCTCGCCTCTGCCATGCAAAAACGAAGCGCCTGAGGAGGAGGCTGAAACTCTTCAGCTTCAGCTGTCAAAGTAAACAATTTTCAAGATGCTGCATAATTTTTTCGCATGAACTCACCTGTCAAATTTTGACCAATCAGAGTATAAAAATTGGACGTAGAGCGTGACCAACGCGTGACCATGGTAAGATAAGGTCTTCCCCGCCTCTACTTTTTAAAAAAACTGGCTGAATTTTCATTTCCTAAGTCAGTTTGAAATCAAAATTCTAATAGTGCGGGACCATAGTGCCATAAACAAGCAGGGCTGAAAAACGACTGCGCATGCGTCAAGCGAGGCGCATTTCGATCGTTTGATCAATGAAAAGTATGGCGGTGAACGCGGCCGTTCCCAGGCAATGTTTGTTTACAAGATGAACTGAGAGACGCAGTTTGTGAACGTTTTCAGTCAACGGAAATTCTCTGACATGCTGAAAGGATTCTAGGGGAATGTTCGTCTATTTAGATAGTTTAAAGCCGGCGGACAAGTTCCTGAAAGCGTCCCTTCTTTGTGGAAACGATGGCCGCTCTTGGTGAGTAGGTTTGATTGATTTTATACACTTTAAAAATATAATCGAGTTATTATCAAGTGAACTCTCAATGGACGTAACGTGATAAATTCCTTCCAATCATAGTTTTATTACATTTTGACTCCCAACCAAGCCCGCATGTAAACTGAGAGATAAAACTGAAATCGCGCGGGAATTGAAGTCTTCATGAATAAACAAGCATGCTTCACGTAAACAGATGGCATTAAAATATACCGTCTCGAGTTAATTGACAGTAATCCTTGTCATTGTTGACTTGTTCCTGTATAAGTACTTTCTTGGAAGTTTATAGAGGGGGTTTTCTGGCATGATTCATCGACCAAAGAAATAACTTCTACGAATTGCGGATTTTTACTAAAATGTCATTTCATGTTCAGTTATTGGCTATCAATTTGAGTCTTTCTCGGGCGCGATCCACCTTTGGTCACAGGACACTAAATAATTATCTTATTGAATTCAGGATTCATGACTTTTATGAAAGCACCTCTGTACGGCCCTCTTTCTAGTTGAACGTCACGTTGGTGACAGTTCCAAGTGTATATTGAAAGCCATTAATTCTCTTATACCAAGAGAGAAGTTCAAATGAATGCTGCCACTCTGTAAAGGCAACTTGGGCCCCACTGTTCCCATGAAAATGACTGTCTAAAAGAAAAACTCCCTGTGTTGTTGGAATAAAGACAACTGTGTTGGACCGTAAGATAAATACTGATGTTGTTCGCCCTTTGGCTAGAGCTTGTCTCCAGTAGTAAGGCAAAGAAGCTGTGGGATTCGTCTCAGGGACAATGCTAACAGGCAGTTCAGGTCCCACAGTAGTATTTCCAATGATGTTATTTAAAACACTAGAGGTTTGAAGTGCCTCCAACACACCAAATGTTCGAGGTATACTCGTTACTGAGTCATAGATAGAGTTCCCAGCCAAAATGCCTTGCACAACTATCTGATAAACCCATGTCTGGCTTAGTAGACTCCCAGTTGCTGGAATGTTGACATTGGGTGAAAAAAACATTTTGCTAAATAAAAGGGCAATGAATGTGCATGCATTACTTCCTGTTCTTCCAAGGATTGTAGATTGAGAAATGATATGTGGGAAAGACCAGTAGGTGACATTACCATTGTGATAGGGTTGGATGGTAATGGGTGTGAGAACATGAGATGGGGTATTAGAGTTGGATTCATGTACTGTTGGCTGGGCTGAAGAGTGATTGTGGTTTGGATGGGATGGAAGAGGGATTGCTGCATAACTATTCACTGTGCTGTCAACCTTCGTAGCCCATTCTGCTGAGGAATAAAATGACTGAGCCTCTGTCACACTCATGGCTGCTGGTGTACTAATTCTTTCTTCTTCCTGAATGTCTTCATTGCTTTCAAAAGCAAGAGTATCATTAGAAGTTAGCAGTCCAGTGTTGAATGTGTTCACTAATTTTTCCACCTTTTTCTTCAGTGGAACCAGACAGATCGGGCAACAATCATGGGATGAAATGCAAGATTGGTGAAAACAATGGAAGCAGGCCAATCTCATGACAGTACTTGTATCTCTTCTTGTGCATGTTGGATAATCACAGTAAACATTTGGGTCAGGTTCCAGGCCAGGTTCCACATCCTCCAAGTTATAACTCAGTGGAAAACACTTTGTGTCAACTATTGTGTCAAACGTTGGGAGATAATACTGTGGCTTTCCCTTTGGTCTTCCATTATTTGCAAGGGAGCGTTCGACCTAAAAAGACAAAACCAAATGAGGTCAGTAGAATATGAATACACTGAAGTGTACTTACAGGTGTGTGCACAATGCATTTTGCATATTTTATTGTGCTTCTTTACTTTAGTTTTAGTTCACAACTTTGTTTTCTTACTCTGTGGATTGACTGTATAACTTTTTACCAATTCTTTTGATTATTAGAGCAAAAACTGATAATTACTTTTCAGATGAAGTAATGTCAGTGTCATCTCTTTTTCAGTTATTAAGAACATAGGGCCAGTTCCTTATCAAGCCGTATGGTACCTGTGTTATGGGCACCTTTAAAACTTTATAGTTCACT